AGATCATTTGCTTTAAGCAAATAGTAGCACAAACTACACATCTAAACACATCATGCTTGGAGAAACTACAAGTACAAACATAACAACCGTGCATTAAAACGCTACTACTGCTGAATATATTTTTCATCCTGGAAAAAGTCCCGCCTTCTTTAAAGAGGCTGTTGGAAGTGTTAGAAGTCTTACATGAAACCAACTGTTCACCTGGGACAAATATGGCCTTTATGGAAGAGCAGGAAGACGAAGGCAATTACTAAATTGTCAACTTTTTCTTCCACTTCCAAGGTATTTGCAGTTTTATGTTGGTCAGTTGCATAAAATCCTGAAACTAAAGATTGAGTCTTCGATGAGACTACTGCAAATTACAGACATTGCAGTGGTCATAATTGCACTACTAGATTTTAATATATATATATATAAGTAGGATTCTCTACTATGAAACATATTGATTACTTTCAGCTGAGATGTAAAGGTTGTGTTTCATGGGCTTTTTCTCAACAACTCAGAAAATGTGAGCATCAAAAGCAGGAAATGTAAACCACTGAAGAAGTGTGAGAATTGAGCAAGAGAAAAAAAGGAAGCAGGAAGACTAAACTTTCATCTTGATAGGAGCTATTTACATGCATGCTAAGGAGAAGTGACAACATTATGGTTTTAGTCCGTCTACTTTTAAAAAGTTGCAGTCCGTCTGAAGCAGTGACACATCATCGGTGTCGGCTGTGAGGATGGGTCCGTTTCTGCTGTCGGTGTTGGCCGCACTCTGTGAGTAGATCGCTTTTTCGTTCTGAAGTGTGAAAGGGATGAAAAATGTCAGCAATGTTTACAGCGTGTCAGAGATTCACCAGTTTTGCACAAAAAAGTTAACTGTGCAGAAGGTCTGTTGCTTTTTGTTTTACTGTTTTGTTTTGGGGTAAATTATGATTCACTTCACAAAGCCAGAATGTGCGGGGCATATTAGAATCACAAGAATGAGAAAAGATGTGATTTGACATTTGGAAAACCAATAATCTCCTTTTTTTTTGTCTTTTTATGATCTGTGTCAAACAATTCAGTTCAGGATGGCCTAGTTGATGTTCGTCATTTTACACAGAAGATTGTTCTAGTAGGGATGAAGGCAGAAGTCTCTGAAGAGACATTGAGACACTTTGAAAGACATCAGTTATAGTTTGTGAAAGACATGGCAATGCTATTTAAACTCATCAATGATGGCAAAAAAAATGGCAGTTGATCAAAACCATGAAATCATTTTTAACATTTTTCTAAATCATGGGCTGCACAGTGGCGCTGTTAGTTGTAGCAACAAGGTTCTGAGTTCAATTCCCGGCACAGGGTCTTTCTGCATGGAGTTTGCATGTTCCCCCTGTATGTGTGTGGGTTCTCTCAGGGTTCTCCGACTTCCTCCCACAGTCCAAAAACATCACTGTCAGGTTAATTGGTCTTTCCAAATTCTCCCTAGGTGTGTGTGTGTGTGTATCTGTGTGTGTGTGTGTGTGTGTGTGTGTGTGTGTGTGTGTGTGTGTGTGGTGTGTGTGTGTGGTGTGTGTGTGTGTGGTGTGTGTGTGTGTGTGTGTGTGTTTGGTTGTGTTGCTCTGCGACAGACTGGCGACCTGTCCAGGGTGAACCCCGCCTCTCACCCGGGTCGCAGCTGTCGATAGGCACCAGCAACTCCCGACTCCGTTAAGGAGAAGGGTGATCAGAAAATGGATGGATGGATGTCTAAATCATTTAGCGACTACAGAAACATTATTTTTGTTTGCCTAGACTCAGAACTTGTGTTGCAGGTCCCGGGTGTCAGGTCTACTGTAACAGTAATGATACAACCTGGAGGACAAAGAAACAGGAGTCAGCAATAATTTCCAGGATTATAAATTCAAGCAGATGAACATGCCTAACTGCAAACAAAAGTTTTAGAAAAAAGAACAAATTGTACCTAAAAATATTTCAGTGAAAAAAAAAACACACACTTGTATCTTGCTTATCAGACACCAAGTCTTTAATAACCAAAATGCAGACCCCCAAATGGTGAATAATTGATGAGCTTTATTTTGGTGCTCAAATAACCTTGTGCAAACAGCCAGTGAGGGACAAAAAGCGGTTCACGCTTTTCTAGCGTCGTCAAGTATCTCTGGCCTTTTTCTCACGATGCATAGATAAACTTAGCATCGCTTAATGCCATGCAGCTGCGAAAAGACAGTTCAGTGTCATCTATGGGGAAGTGTCAGACAAGTGCAAAACTAGAAACAGTGGAGGAAGTTTTGACCACATACATTCTCAGAATGTAAAAGACACACAGTGGTAGAGTTTTTTTTTTCTCTCCCTCTCTCTCTCTGAAGATTTTGTTGGCCCTAATGGCCCATTTTATTTTTTTAAAGTAGACAGACAGGAAAGAGGGGAAGTCGTGCAGCGTATGTCACCGGGGCGGGAGTCGAACCCGCGTCGAGGACTCAGGCCTTCATACGTGGGTTTTGCAAAGCCCTCACACCACAGCACTCCTGGTAGACGGGTCTTTGTATCCATGACATTTATTTTGGCTTGTGAACAGAGAACTTGTGCTACTTCTGTGATCTTGGTCACATTGGCCTGATGTGAGCTCTGACACACTGCACCACACTGAGCTCATGGTTATGGTTGCATTGCTCTGTTTGGTGCGTTTGGATTCGTTTCTGTTGAATAAAAACATCTTCCATGTGTACCTCACAAGACGGGCACTTCAATATCTGGTATCTTTGTAGCTTAAGATATTAAGATATAATGGAGCATGAAAAGCTCAATGCATCCACATTTAACTATTGACTCATCATAATATGCAGAAGCAAATGACTGAAAGTCGAGTTCACTGTGTGTGAACGTCTCTCTGTGAGAAAAGCTTTATTTTTAATAAAATATTGTCACAGCTTTAGATTTTTACACCTTTATTATTGTTATTATTAGTAGAAATGTAAAAAAGAAAAACATTTATTCTAGAGTTTTCACATTTCCTCTTTCATGTTTCATTTTTATATGATGTCTGAAAAGCTTTGTGTTTTTAGGTCTCAGTTATTTTCTTGGGTGTGGAAAAACTCAAGGTAAGGTTTCCTTTTTTACTCATCCATGAACTCATTCTTCTATCAAAAATGATTGTTTATTCTGGTAGTTTTTAGGGACTTCTACAGACAGCTCCCCTCCTGTGGCAATTACAATCACTGTTGAACCTTTAATAGTTTGTTTTAAATACTGGACTAAAACAATATGCACTAGTTTTGAAATGTCAACGAGAACATAAACTGAAAAAGAAATCATAAACGTTATTATGTCTTTAACAGGACCAAAGCCAGTCCTGACTGTGTCTCCATCATGGCTGACTCCAGGAGCCTCAGTGACTCTGAGTTGTGAGGTTAAATCTTCATCTTCAGAACTGAAGTTCTTCTGGTATAAAGCTGCTCCTGATCTGAGAAACAAGAACTACACATATGAGCTGCTCAATGGTGCCATCCATGGGACTGTAGAGAACTCCTTCATCATTACTGGACAGAAACACACAGCAGGATTTGCTTGTAGAACTGGAAGAGAAAACTCAGAGCATTTCACTGATTACAGTGAACCAAAGTTTGTCTGGTCTGCAGGTCAGTACTTCATATTCCATCATTTGTTTCTATGTCCACGATAAATTCTCATATTGACTTTTAATCTGCCATAATATACATATATATACAGCAATGTGAAAAAATAGGAGATAGAAACTGTAGTGAACTCATTTAGTCACAAAAGGCCAATTTTATGTACAGTAACACCAGAAATAACTCTGAACTGTAGTGTAGGAAAAAGGGGAATATTTGAGGTTATTGAAAGTTACAGATCTGACATAAAATAATCTGAACCAAAGTATATTTTACTTTCCTAATTCACATAAGCAGGAACAATCACACAAATGGTAAAACTGGATAAAACTTTGGTTACTACATTGCATAAGGAAAATAAAAGTGATATGAAGTCTGATGTATTACTGCCTTGACTTTTTATCAGTTTGCATGACTAACTACCATTTACTTAGATTTAAATACAACAACAGCATGTAAAGTTAGTAAACTGTCACTTTCCTCTGGATTAGTGTAAGTAATGACAGCATTAATAATACTTCAATGGCAGCAATAAATAAATAGGCACAGTGTACTAATCAGAAGATTCAGTGAATGATTTATTGATTTTTGCAAATCTTTGTTTTTCAGATGCTCATCCAGCTGGACTCACTCTGACTGTGAGTCCTGACAGAGAGCAACATTTCACTGATCACAACGTCTCATTACAATGTGATGGAAAATCTACTGATGGGAGAATAAGACATTATAAACAAATAAGCAGGGAGTCATATCTGTATGACTGCGCCACCTGGTGGACAATGAGTAAATCCTCATGTACCATTAACAGTCAGCAGGACCATGAAGCAGTGTACTGGTGTGAGTCTGGATCAGAGTTCAGCAATGCCGTCAACATCACTATCTACAGTAGGTTATTATATATGAATGTATTTTAATTTGAATGATTCTGATCACAACTGTAGTTCACAGTAACCTGTTGCACATATGAACATATAAACACTGAAAAAGATGTTTTAAGTTTTTCGTTTTACTGACAAGATATTTGTAAAGTATCTAAGCAGTTTTTGTCTTGATAGAGAAAAGCTGTTAGCTGTAAGCAAATATTGTGAGAAAGGTCATTACTGATAATATTTAAGACTTTTATTTCTATGTTATTGTGATCATAGTTTATGAAGGTGGAACATGTCTTGATTTTGAAAACATTTCTCTGTCCTACAGGACCAAAGTCAGTCCTCACTGTGTCTCCATCATGGCTGAGTCCTGGAGCCTCAGTGACTCTGAGATGTAACCATGATGACCAGTCTGCAGGATGGAGGTTCTTCTGGTGTAAAGCTGTTCCTGATGAGACTGGGGACGGCTACAGATATGATCTGCTGCCTGACAGCATCAGTGGGACTGTACAAGATTCATTCATCATACATGAACAGAATCAGACATCAGGATATTCATGTAGAGCTGGAAGAGGAAACCCAGAATATTTCACTGGTTACAGTGAACCAAAGTTTGTCTGGTCTGCAGGTCAGTTCTTCTCTTTTCTAATTTTGCTTCACTGGTGATATGTCCTAAAATTATCCCATGTGCAATGTGACAAATGTTTAGTTTCCTTTAAACTTATGCAAAAGAAGAACAAACTTAATGAAGCAAAAAATGTCTGAAGGACATGTTGCTAATGATGCAGTCGAACAAATGAGTCCAAATGAAAACAATGAAAGCTAATTCATCAACACAGATTTTTTTGTCAAATATGTTGGTCTTTATTCTACTTTTTTTAAAATCTTGTTTTATTTAGTCCCTCATCCAGCAGCGTCTCTCTCAGTGAGTCCTGACAGAGAGCAACACTTCAGCTCTGAGTCTTTTACTCTGAACTGTGGAAGAAACTCTGCTGAATGGAGAGTGAGGAGGTTTTCAGAAGCAGGTGACCTGACCCAAATACCAAACTGCGCTTCCTGGGGGAAAATGTCTGGATCTTCATGCAGCGTTAAAAATCAGTCAAAGCCTAAATCAGTGTACTGGTGTGAGTCTGGATCAGGACAGTTCAGCAACGCCGTCAACATCACCTTCCACAGTAGGTTACTATCCAATGGGTGTATTTGTCAGAGAAGATTTACTGAAATATTTCTGAAGCAAATTTCTTCATGCAGTTCATCTGAGAGAGTTTGCAATATACAGGCCACAAGATTTTTCCCGTTACTGTGATCATTCTTTTTCATAGTTAATGGAATAGAAACAAATCAATGTACCATCTTCCTCTTCTTAGCTTTTGTTTAAATATTATATACACTGTAATATTTACAGTAACTTCCTGGCAGCAGGGTTTCCAGCCAGTTGCTGTAAAGAAATTACAGTCACTTTACTTACTGTAATTTTATTACAGTATTCTTATTGTAATTCTATTACAGTTTTACTGTGATTTTATTGCAGGTTTACTGTCATTTTTATTACTAAATTATTGTCATTTGATTAGTGTTACTGTAATTTCTTTAAAACAGCACAGTAATTATATAAACTAGATGTGCAAAACGCTGGCTAAAGACCCAACACAAGAAAGTTGAAACTGTTCAACTCTTGTTGCTTTCTGCAAAAAAAAAAAAAGTATTTTGCTGTTCATAGCTCCGTCTGTAACGCGCTGCTGTGAACTGGATAATCCAGCATGGGAGAGAGGCTCTCATGTCAAAATAGATGGTTCATTGATCTGCATTTTGTAATTTTAATGCCTTTAAATGTTCAGGTTAGTCGTCTGCGCCAATGCGTTACGTTGACAGTTCTATGTGCGAGAGAAAATAAGAGTAAAAAAACAAAGACAGCTGTTTGAGCAACAACCAAACTATTTCTGCAAAAAAACCAGAATATGCTGTATACGTCTGCACATTCAAGATGAACTGAACAAGTTTCACTTGTGCTCAGCATTTGTGTTGAACATAATGCCAGCTGAGAAATGACCAAAGTTAGCTTCAGCAAATAAGCGAGAGTAGCTCAATATAACCACATAAAATATAAATTTTCCTCACTAACACAGTGATACTGATGTCTGACTGGTTTACAGATAAAGGTCCTCTCCTGGTGAGCCCCATCCATCCTGTGACTGAAGGAGCTTCTGTCACTCTGAGCTGCAGACTGAGAGGAGAAAACAAACTTTCTAATGTGATTTTCTATCACAATGACAAACTGATCCAAAATGACAGCAGAGGAAAGCTGAATATCTCTGCTGTGTCTCAGTCAGATGAAGGTTTATACAAGTGTCAACATTCAGGAGACGTTTCACCTCAGAGCTGGATGGCTGTTAAAAGTGAGCAGAGATTCATTACATCGTTGCGTTTTTAATCATTACGATGCCGTGAGAAATGAACGATGTCTTCCCAAATGTTTACGTAGGTGTTTCCAAACCTGGGAGCCCTTCATTTCCAGTCCTGTTGGTCCTCGGTGTAGTTTGTGGATCAGTATTTGTTATGCTGCTCCTGCTGTGTTGCTTTAGACATTCCAAAGGTGAAACTTTCATCTCCTGAAACTATTTTACACAGTTCGCCCGTTTCATCTGGTCATACAAATGCTTTGTCTAATGTCACAAATGCAAAATTAAAAATAAATAAGTAAATACATGTTGACATCATTGTGTTATCTCAATTCTTTTCAGGTTCTTGCCACAGGTCAGTACATCTTATTTTACTCATTTCCATTCTCCTTAATCTTGAATCAGGAGTGTTTTGACTTGCTGCTTCAAATGGACTTCCTGTGTGTTCCAGGGTGATCCAGTCAGAGATCGCTGATCGGGGATCTTCTATAGATCAACCTCTCAATCAGACCTCAACCAATGATTACAGCTTGCCTTCTCATGGTCGGTGTTTTTAACCGATGCATTACATCCACACTCGTTTGCGGCATATTCAGAAGATTTTGGATGTTAATAAAAAAAAAACACCAAAAAAACAATTGTTGACAGTAGTTAAACTGCAACAGGAGTTTGATGGATATGAAACTGTTTTCTGTGCCAGGTGAAGATGAAGCCGGCGACGTCACATACGCTCACATTAAGTTCAAAAACACCAAACGGACGACCAAGTCCTCCAAACGAGGCCGAGTCCAACGCGGTACGCTGGATACGAAAGGTTTTGATTTTACCAAATGATTTTCTTTCTTTCTTTCTTTTTTATATCAAAAATGTATTCATGAATCCAGTTCTGATTCCAGCAGGGAGGAATCGTGACCCAGAAGAGGGCGCTGTTTACTCCGATGTGAGGACAGCGGCTGCAGGTACAGTCAGTCAGCAGCAGAGTTTGCACTGACATGAACACTTTGCCTTGACAAATATTTCCTCATTTTCACCAGTTGTTTATCTATTTTTGGACATTTATTTGTCCATTTCATTCACAGAAGCATTGAGTGCTGCAGCGGCTGACGCAGCGCTTTATTCTGAAGTCAGGAAAGCCCCAAAGAAGAGAGTGAGCTAGTTGGGTTGACTATGAACTGCATGTTATTTAACAGCATATATATTTTTTAAATAATTTAATGTAAGAATTTCCTGGAAGATCTTATTTCACATGTCTTGTCAGTGAGCTAATTATATAAAACCAAAGCTATCTTTTTTTTTTTGTTTGCTAAACCAGTTATATTTTGTTTTCTACCTAAACACCAGAATTTTTTTTACTCTCTTATTTATGGAACATGTTGACACAGTAATGTTTTTTTTTTTATCTATTTTATATATTTTATAAAATAAATGCTTTTATTTGTGTCATTCTTAATATTGCCATTTGACTGTTGTAACTTTAAATGTATATTTATATATAAATATATATATATATTTTGCTCGATATTATTTTTTAACTTGAGAACGGGCTTGTTAGACTACAAGAGAATAAATCTTGCTTTTTTTTCTATCAACTTCTTGACAATAGATTAGTTGTAAATGCTTGTCTTTAATTTGTGTTTGAAAAATAATAATTTTTTGCAGTTTACATTTTCCAAGAGTTGACCTCAAAAAGTTGCTAACTTTGTCTTTTTGAATGCATTTTTTTAAAGCGGTTCTCATAAACCAAGTCATGATGTAAATTTAACTCTTGCCCTTCACAATAAAAGGCTGTTTCAATGGAACTTTGCTCTATGTTTTCAGTCGAATGATTTAAGTGAGTTATTCATGGTAAGTACTCATAAAACAAAGCAGAATTTGTTGTTTTTATGAAGTTAATATATAAAAAAAACACAAAGTGAACTGGAACAGGAGAAACATCTGAGCTGAGCTGGAGGATTATTCTCTCCCCCTCTTGGGTCTGCAACTAATAATTCACTCATTTACTCACCGACACAGAGTTCAAAACGCTAAGGTTGCAACATTTAACTTCAGTTTTTCAGCTTTGTTGTGAAACATGTCTCATTCAGATCCTGATTTTTTAAATTTTATTTCCTCATTTGTCTTTACTGTAAAAAACAACTCATTTTTCAGAAAAACAAAATCAATTTATTTTGCACATTATTCTTAATGCAACTATATTATTACATTCACTTTGAAGAAAAGTGGATGTGATAATATTTCACAGACCGGAGATTGCCCACAGCTGTTCTGCTGTCCATACTACTTCCCCGTTTGTTCTCGAAACAGAACTCGTTACATTATTTTTCACTTCCTCATGAAAGCTTTTCACAAGAGGTTGGTGGTGAAAAGGCCAAACAAAAATGCAAAGCAGAGTTCTGTGAAAGTCCTGATGTGCATTTGGTTCCCTTTTCTCTTCTCAGAGGTCTTTTTCTTCGCTGCGGCATTTGAATAGTGAAAGTTTGACATCATATTTAATCCCATAACAGATGAAGAAAAGAATCTGTTGCAATTCTCATTCCTCCATCTGCCTCCATCATCAAACACAGTCATGGCACATTGACAACTGTTGAGTTTCTGATTATTAAACTGTAGATTCCAGTGTCTGGATGAGGATCTGTTTCCATCTGACCACCTCCAGGTGTCTCTGAACAGACCTACAAAGAAGTACCTTGAATTTATATTCATAAAATTTTACCAAGAGTTTATATTTCCCTTCTGCAGCTGCTTCCTTCCACTGACCAGGTCAGTGTGTTTCTCTCTGCAGTACTGCTGAGCTTCAGTGAAATGCTCAGTGCCTGAATACCGATCTGTTTCAGGACCTAAACTCTATTTGAATAGTCAAACCAGATAATAATGCTGCTATTTATACTCTGTAACCCAATACTTCTGTCAAGCCATAGGTAGATCACAGTCAGCTCAGATTCCATTAAAAACAATCCAAAATATTGATTTTGTTCTCAAAGCATTGTTTTCATCATTGTATGATTTCACATCAGAAAGATGAGGCCTGATCCTCTGTAACACCATGTTACCATTTTTTCAACATCATTCGACCCAAGTTATCTTGTTCCAGTTTAATTTCGCTGAAAACATTTTGAGGGGCAACAAAGAAATTCAAAAAGTTGTTTCACTTTAGCATAAGAAAGTCAATTAATTACAAATTTTATTGTTTTTAAATTTAACCCGACTTCAGTAAGAGCAAAATAAATTGCTTGAAAACAGAACATTAAAGGTTTATTTTAATATTTCTGAAATATATTCCGTATATTGAATTTTAGTATTTTTTCATCCGGGATTTAATGATTGTGACAACAAATGTCGTTCCAGTGGCAGGTTGGACTTAAAAACAAGAAAAGTAGTCGTGCTAATGCTTTTTATTCTCAGTTTGATATTTATAAAGCAAATCAACAATTGATGTTCTGGTTGAAAAGTTGTTTTACAGCTATAAACAAGTGGTATTAGTCAGGTCAATACTGGCTTTTTATTTCCAAATAAGGTAATAACCTTTCACTATAGGAGCTAAAACTTGTTTTTATGATGGAAGAAGACCATACATCAGTCAGGACAGGCTGTCTGAATCATGGAGGAACCCTGAAGCCATGGGAACTGAGCTGTAACCACGGCGATCAGTCTGCAGGTCAAAGGTCCTTCTGCTGTTCTTCCTGATCAGTCTAACAATGGCTGATCAGGAGCTGCTGCCTGATGGCATCAAAGGCCCGTCGTCATTCATGTACAGAAACACACAGCAGGAAACGTATGCAAAGCTGAAAGAGGAAACCCAGAGACCTTCATTGTTTACAGTGAAGCAAAGTTTCAGTTCTTTTCATTTCTTATTTTACTGCATTGAGAGTTCCTAACTAAAGGTTACAAGGATCACATGTACAAGTGTTTAATTTACCTTAAACTGCTTTAAAAGAATAAGAAAGTTTATAAAGCAGAAAAAGCCTCACCAAACAATGCTGTGAAACAATATTTACAATGAAAACAACGAGAATGTATTAATCCAAATAGTTTTCCTCTCTGAATGTTTCAACTCCTTCCATATTTTCATGTTGTTTTCTTTAGTCCCTCATCCAGCAGCGTCTCTCTCAGTGAGTCGTGACAGAGAGCAAAACTTCAGCTCTGAGTCTTTGACACTGAACTGTGGAGGAAACTCTGCTGGGTGGAGAGTGAAGATATTTTCAGAATCAGGTCACCTGACTTTAGCCTTGGAATAACCTCATCTATGCAGTAATAACTTATAGCTGCTGCTTGGATTTAAAATATATCTTAAATCTATTGAAGAAATACATCAGTAGATATTTTGGTTTTACTTTAGTGTCTTTTTATTTTTAATCTTTTTTTGGATTGATACATGCAGTAATGTAATAGTTTAGTAAAGTGATCAATTAAACATGAGCGAGAGATTAAATTTGAAACAAGTTATACATGCTTTAAAAAGAAACACAATTACATGATACATATGCATAAGATGTAAAGCAAAACAAAATCCAAACAACACCTACAATGTGAAATCAATTCCTTTTCTACATTTATCAGCTTTTATATACAATAATGTGAGAACAAGTGGAGTACAGTACATCACTTATTATCCTGCTGGATGTTCAGAACAGATGAAGTTAAACATCTCAGTATCATTTTTCTTAAACCACAGATATTTTCCTTTTCTCTCCATGGCTCCAGACATGTCACAGTCGTCCATCGGTTCATTCTGGGCCGAGTTGTTGTATCTGACCATCTCATCACTGACCCAGAACCATAAATCCAGAGTGCAGGCGTAGCTCAGTCCAATCCAGACATAATCAGTTGAAGCAAACCGAGCTTTTTGCTGGACTGATCTCTGTTCGTCCATGTTGGTGATGGTGACCAGGTCATGGTGGTTCTCTCTGCAGTAGTTCAAGGCGTCCTCCCAGGTTTTATTGTCTGTGATCAGGATCAGTGTACTGTCTTTTGAAAGAAACCAAACATCTCATCTGAAGCTTTATTTCAGTCATTATGGTGGACGATCCATCCATCCATCCATCCATCCATCCATCCATCCATCCATCCATCCATCCATCCATCCATCCATCCATCCATGTCTCTCTCCCTCCCTCAGCAGAGTACATGTAAATACAAAATGTCATCTCACCATCATAACAGATGAAGGGTTTTTTCTTGTTGCAGTTCTCATTCCTCCATCTGCCTCCATCATCAAACACAGTCATGGCACATTGACCACTGTTGAGTTTCTGATTATTAAACTGTAGATTCCAGTGTCTGAAGGAGAAATTACTTCCATCTGACCACCTCCAGGTGTCACTGAACAGACCAGTGAAGATGTACATTGAATTTGCAGTTATTAAATTGAACCTCTTGTTCACTTTTCCATCCTGTAGCTGCTTCAATCCACTGATCAGGTCTGTGTGTTTCTCTCTGCAGTAACTCTGAGCTTCTGTCCAGTTCTTTGATTCAGAAATCAGGTGATATTTCTGTGATGAATTATTTTCTGTGAAACAAAGTCAGAGCAGAAAACATTATAACATGTAAGTCTTAAAGTAAACATTAAAGAGGGGCTCAAGACTTTTTTCACTATTGTAGAAGAGAAAATTATTACACCATATGCAAAGCATTTATGGCAATATTTTTTTCTTCAAAGTGAATGCAATAACATAGTTACATTAAGAATAATGTTCAAAATATATTGATTTTGTTTTTCTGAAAAACCTCATGTTTATTTTTTTATTACTTCAAAGTCTTAAAAGACACAAATCTATATAAAAACAGTTTTTCTCACCATCATAGCAGATAAAATTATTCTTCTCATTACAGGATAAATCCCCCACTTGAAAAAAAGATAGCCATATTTCCATGTAATCCCACAGTTTTGGCCTTCAGGTCCATAATTATTTGGTTCTTTTGGTACATTTGCTTCATATGTTGCCCATTTTGTCTCACTTTCATTGAACTCCACTCCAGGCAGAGACCAGTACCATGTTCTGGTACCATGTGTTTGATCATACAGACCAATCCAAGCTTCCTTTATATCTCCTAGTGAGATACTGATGAGTCTCTTCATGTCCTTCATGTTAGTCACTGTGACCAGGTCAGTGTGTTTCTCTCTGCAGTACTGCTGAGCTTCAGTCCAGGTTTTATTCTCATTAATGTAGTGAAACTCATAGAGCTGACAGTCCATCACACAGCATTGACCTAAATACATTCAAAAGCTTGTTTGAGTTAATCAAAACAGCAATACCAACTTTATTATAATGATAAGTAACAGTATTTAGTAGTGTTACATTTAAACATTATATTAACAGTATAAGGTAGAGGTCTGCAACCTTCACAACACAAAGAGGCATTTTGTTTCTTTGTTTTAAAGCTGAACGACTTACCTAACAAAATGAGCCACAGTTTCCACTGCATGTCTGCTCTGTCAGATAGAGATTTGTACTGTTGGAAATAAATATAACAAAAGACTTAAGAAATATGTATAAAAACTAAAAAACACTGAAAATAGAGAAGTTGTACATTTTGTTTCTAGAAAATCACTCAGATGTTTTTTAGTTATTAATGGTTAACAGTCAAATCTTCACAAACTGTGGCGTTTTATCAAAAACTAACTTACGAGATAATTTATTAAATCACAGCTTCATAAATACAATTATAGAAATTGTAGTTTACATGTTACCTCTGGTAATTAGACAAGTTTCCTTTATCTTGGTGTGAAACGGATCATTGCTGTCAAATCTTAATTTTGCTCCACATATTCTGTGAGATTCAAGTCAGAACTTTGATTGGACCAAAGTGAAATTTTAATATTCGTTAAACTTACAGAAAATAACTGGAGCTCAGTGATCAGTTTTCATCCTTGTTGTGAAAACTTTTTGTCTGAGTCACTTTCTTTATGTCACTGAACTGTTACATAGTTATTTTACTGAGATATTCCTCTGTTAACAATTTGTGATAAATGTTAACATTTTTATTGACTGAGAGTTGTGTGAAGTGAAACATGGATAACACATGAGTTTGTAACATGACTTTATACACCAGTGGCTTGATTTTTGACAATTAAGATAAAGAAACAAAGATAATTTTAAAAAGTAATAAACCCATTGAAACATATCTGCTAATAATAACAGTGGAGAGAGAAACTTATTAGTTTGTGAAAACATACTGTACAGAACACACAGTAAGCTATCAACTTCCTGATATTCATATAGACAATATAAAGTCACTATCTACTCATTTTTGAGACAAACTAAAACTGGACTTACTTTTAGTCAAATTTGTAACCAGATACTTTATGCAGATCCACTTACCTTAGAAAATAACCAACAGATGATTCACTAATTTCCTCTTAATGTCCTTTATGTTTGTCCCAACAAGGTTGTTTTTGTTCTAAATGTTCCTATAGTAACTTCCTGCTATGTGTCTTTATGTTTGTCAATGTATGAAAGTTTTGAGTGTGTGAAGTAAAGAATATGAGTAAGTTCCACCCATAATTTCTGTTGACAAATCAGCTTTTAGCAGTTTTTCTTGTCTGTAGTTACATGTCATGTTTCACATCCTTTTCCTGGGAGTATGTAAAATAAAAAATTCCCGCTTGTACATCCTGGATCAACGATGAGCTCAGTGAGCTCAGGAACAACATTTGAATATTCAAACCTTGTGAGAACATGTCACACTATGCCTAAAATAATTTACACTTCTGTGAAAATGTTGTTTAAATGCATCAATATTTATTTATTTAGCAAAGAAGTTGCTGAGAGAGTGAAGCTCCAGGTGGAACAAACTTACAAATGAAGGCAAACTTTTCTATCCTGCTAAAATCAAAAACCCAGAGTTATGTCTGGGTTTCCCCTCCTGGATCTGATTCTCACTCTGCTTGATATGAGAAAACCAGAAGAAGTGAATTCACCCATTCACTCTACATCCTTCACTTATTACCTATAATTTAAACATTTGAGATTACAAGACTGTTAAATAACTTCACTGATTAATATTTTTCATTTTGTTATTTCCTGTTATGAAGCATTTCTTGTTCAGTTGCTGTTTTTCATATTTCCTTGGCTGCTCTTCATAGAGTTTCCTTGTCTGTTCATAAATAGAACTCATTTTATTATCTAAATAGGTTTTTCTTCCTGGTGAAAGTTGTCGTGCAAACAGTGAGTCCTGACGTGCGAAATGTTCCTTCTCCCATCACAGCTCCTCTTTTCAGCTGCAGCATTTGAATATTAAAACACTGAGATCAAATTCCCAAATGGAAAAGTTTCAGATCTGGATTTCAAACGCCTGTTTTGGTTCTCCTCTGGCTCCCTGTGTTCCTGTGGGTTTTTTGTTTTTTATCAAAACAGTCAACACTTTCCATGCTTCCAGATCCTCTCTGCATTTTGGTCCATCAATAAACTCACAACTCATGACACGCAGAGTTCATTTCACTTCTGAATTTATAGGTTGTTTTGATGAAATACGTTTTTTGTTTTCTCATTCTATAAATGCAACTCATGACTAGAGCAGTTTAGTTTCCCACCTCAGACTGTTTCTGCCATAAATTTACCATAAACAGTCATATATTTCCCTGTTATCGAAGGATTTACAATTTTCAGCTGAATGGACTGAATACTTGTACTAAATCTTATATCTTGCCAGATAAACATACATCAATATTTGCATATAACCGTTGACGACTAGATGAGTTGGATCGCAGGAGGCTTATTGATGAATTTATATTATTGGAATCTATATTTATATTTTGGATTCATGGATATCTTGAAATAGCTGTGGGAAAATGATTAATATTTTTGTGACAAATGATTTGTGATATTTTTTATTTTTGGAAAATACAATTTATTTGATCATTTTTTGTGTCATAGGGTGTGTCATGTGATGGTATTAACAGTTTTTCCCAGTCCAGAAAGAATTTCTCCCTAGCGAGACAAATAAAGATACTAAACTTTTTGATTCAGTAGTCAGTAATAAAGTGTACGCCACAAAAACTCTCTTTATTTAATATTTTACAAAAATTTACACAGCCAAAATATACTTGTACTATTGGTGCATTGTTATCCAGTTAGAAAGATACAAGAAAAACACATAAAGCCATTAACTGCTGAATTAACTGTATGACATTTTCTATTGTTTGAATAAGGATATTTGTTCCCTTAGCAGAGCTTTCACATCAATAAAAAGTGTGTATTATATATGAGACACAACCCCGGACCAAACTTATAATATGAACATTTATACATTGCTACAGCAACATAAAGTATGTGCTCAATCAATAACAGTTCATATAAAAAAATTTGACAATCAAAAACAAAAGTTTGATTTTGCTAAACTGTTTTACTCCAGAAGTCATCAAGTCACATTATGTGGCAAATATATTCATAATGTAAGAAAAAATCTCTCAAAATACAATATATTTAAGTTTTTATAATGATAACCTTCAGATCTCTCAAGCAACACTTGCTACAGTTGTAACCAAGTCCAATATAAAAGTATTTTGTATTGAGTTAAGTTCATGGAAGTAATAATAATTTTGAATATTAAACATGTTTGCTTAAATATGTTAAAGTTTCAGCAAACATATGCTTCTTACAGACCCAGAACCAGACATTCTTCAAGCAGCTACTCGAACTAATATGGTATAATAAGTTAAAAGAATTTGGAAAAATGTACTTAAAACCACTTTACAGAAAAGTAATCTTCACCATATTTTATTTTGAAGGGCTGATTGAGGTTTCCGTCATGGGAGCTTTCCAGAGTTGAGCCTCGAGAACAGAGATGCGCTTACACTGAGTTATGTGACTGCTGGAGGGCTGTGTCTGCATTGGGTTTTTCTGCTATTTCCTGATTCCTGGACCGAGGGACTGGTGAAGGAGCTGAAGACAACTTGCCATCACGGAGTAAAGACAGGTGAAATTCCAAGAAGGTGCAAGATTTTCCCTTAGACTAAGGTACCAAAATCTACGCTTCAATAACACATCAGGCCTGTAACAGGATTTATTATTCTTGCTCAAAGCTATATTATTGTGTGAAAAGAATAGAAAATAACTTGTGTATTACTCTCAGGTGAGTGAAACTTATAATAGGTTTAAACCCGAGAGTGTATTAGTTTTTATTTGCAAGTTAGCGGGTTTAATGAACTTTGGGGCCCTTACCTACTTCAGAGCAGTATAACTGGGCTACTCAGTATTGGCTCAAGACAAGACAGCAGGAATATCTTTCAAGTTTATCTCAAGAGCACCAAGATAATCACAGCTTCCTTAAAATCGGGACAAAAATTGTCAGCAAAATCTTGCATGGAGTAGGCATTGATTAATTTCATTCATGACTCAACCATTTCTATTCTTTGATACTCCTTTTCAAGCTTCTTAGGATGTTTTTTTTTTTTTACATTTTAAGTCTAGAATGTGTGGCTGACAGGATCCTCTGAAACTTGCGTATTTTTGAGTTTGATTCTCATCTCTTCCTTTTTAAGAACCAAGAGACTTAAATATGGTTGAACTGAAATCTAAATTCAGATCCACAAGAAGAAAAATAAATTCACTACATCAAGTTACTACATATCTATACATCAGTACTGTAGTACTTCAGACCGGTCTTGATATCGAGGCCATTTTTTGATGGTTTTGTACTCAAACCGCATTTGGTCTCGTTCTTGTCTCGGTCTCTGGATTTTATTTCAAGACCAGTGAAGACCGCAACTGTACAAATATCACTTAACTTACAGCATACTGCCCAGTTTATTTGTGAACATGTTTGTTTTCACTGGATTTAAAACGCACTGATTAAAACCTAAGCAATAACGTGACTTACCAATTACGTGTTTCTGTTACGCCCCCAAACCCTTCCCCACCTTTCATACGCGGTGGTTTTCTTTGAGCGGCAGAAGATGTCTGTCTAATCATCAGTAATAGAATTGTGCTTCATAAATCAGAAGAAATCTGATGGTGACAGCTAATTCAGCAGCACTTTGCTTTCGCAGACGTGTGAGAAGTATTTTTTTGTCAATTAGAAAAGAAGTTCAAAGAAAGGTAAGCTCTGTTGACGTGATGTAAGCAAAGGTAGGTGTACAGAGACACTTAAGCATTTGTGATGGAAAAAAAAAGTTACTCACTGCGCTGAATTATTGTGCGGAAGTGTTGATGAATGTGGAGCACATTCAGGACAACACTGTGTCCAAAAGTATAGCTTTTTGCTGCCTGGCTTCATGCAGTGGGAGAGAGTGAGAGAACAGTCATGATGAGCGCCTTGTACTTGGTTACTTCTTGCTTGTTGCTCTTTGGTCAGTGTTCATAGTTGAGTGTTGTTTACCATGAGGGCATTGCCTCAATTACTATTTTTAATGGTGCAGACAGTGCTGATTTCTGACATAAATGATATGGGCCAATGCCCAGGGCAATATCTTTTTAGGAGCGGTGTGCCGATCGGTCGGCCACCGATCATAATCCGCTGATTTCCGTGAAACAGTGTATGATTGGTGATCGCCGATCACAGTCTCTCTCTCTGCATGTGCAGCTTATCTCCTGCTTGCGCGGCAACAAAACCTAAGTGATGCCATGTGGAACATTAATGCTCTGAGAGAGGATTTATCAGGCAATGCTAAACCTCAGATATCAATATCGGAAGTGGAAAAAGTGGATGGGTGCACCGCTAGTTTTACTGGCAGTAGAACGTGAGGACGTTCTGTTGGTTTCCTCGTATCAACACGGCGGGACAGTGAAGGCCACGCGACAGAGTGTCCAGCCAGGCCATGTACAAAGCGCTGGGCAATCGCTTTGAGGAACTGGAAGGCTCCTGCGGGGAAGATACACAAATAAATATGTTGATAAATATTCCATCAGAAAGCTGTAAATGTTTCTTCATCCAAACATTTTCAGGTGTTTATAATCTGCACACTAGAACAAGAGCGGTGTGGTGGGAATTCTTCCGAATGATTCATTCAGCCTCACCTTTCTCTCAGACTGTAAAAGGTAAACAAAACATTAGATATTTTTTTATTGTACTATGACATATTTTTGCCTCAAATATTTGCTAAAAACACCCACCTTCAGCTTAAAGGCTTCAAATTGTTTGTCAGACATCTTCCACGGAGTGCTTTGTCTCAGCTCCTGTACAGAGATGCCTTCCTGCTGCTCATCGTGCAGCCTGAAGGGGGCGACACTGTCCACAAATCTGCTCAAGCTGAAACGAGAAAGCAGAAGTCAATTTTCCTGTGAAGAACAACTACGCTGCCTAAATATCAACACACACAGATGGAAACCTGTGAAAGTGAGTGAGTCTTATTGGAAACACCATGATGATGGAATCTGAGACAAATGGACTTATAGTTAAAATACCAATTCTGTAGATTATTTATTAAAAGTACATTACACTTTTGTGCTTCATTAACAAAAAAGATATATTATGAAATTTATCTTACCTTTTTGGATGAGGGTGTTTCTCAATATCTGTCATGACTATAACATCACTAACGTCCAAACGAAACCTCTTCAGCAGAGCCATCATCCTAAAATATATATGATAAGATCATATTCACTGCATTACACTGTGTATAGAAGTTCTCAAACATCTTGATTTCAACAAAGAGATGAATAGCAAAACATTTTTCTCTTCTGAGTCTAAATCTTGGAGAACCTACTGGTCGCGACTCTCCTCCATGTTTTGTTCGTCGCCCACAATGAAAACCCGGACCTTGCATCGGCGCCAGCGTTTCCTCCTGGTGATCAGGTAGGGCACCAGTAGAGTCAGACCTTAAAACAAAGTGATTATAAATGTTTGTACCACTGATCTGAACATAAGTGTCGGGAAGACATTTATCTTAAATTGTATTTCCGTCACACATTTTGAGATAAAGGGATTAGCACAGTAACAAATTATTACTAAAAAATTTAAGTATATTGGTTATTTAAAAAAAATAATAATTTTTAATTACAGAAATGAAATGCATGTACATTTTTTTAAACTACTATGTCTTTGTCCAAAGAAGGTTTGAAGAGCACTCTCCCAGCACCACGATGCTTTTTAGTGGATATGCTTTTCTTTTTCTGAAATGATGTGTTGTGATGTGACACACCTTCTAAAAAGTTAAATTTTTCAGTTCATTGCATAGAATATTTTCCCAAAGATCTTCAATGTGTGTTTTTTTAGCAAATGTAAATCTGACTTTCTAGATCTTTTCGGTTAAATGTTTTTGACTTTATTCTGATCACGCCTGGAAAAGTTTACAGCCGTTCATGTTCTTCTTTTATCGATAAATATCTAGGACTAAATCCCTTTCAAATCCAACATTCGCTCGTATTACTCACCTCCATCGTCTGCTATCCAGTAGACATCGATGGTTTTCTTTCCCTGGTTGTTTTGAAACACGGTCTTCATCTGATCGCTGCTGCCTTCGTCAGACATGTCATCAGCTGCAAGACGAGGAGAAACTTTAGAGGAAAGAAAAACAATCCCACATGTACCAACATGTTTTTCATCAATGGCTTATCATGTGAGTAAACTTATTCCGGTACGATTTTTATTGGATTTCTTAATTTATGGAAACACCCAAATTGTAAAATAGCTTTTTTTTTATTGTGGGCTTTTTAAATGGCAGAATATCAACAATGTTTTGAGCACATTTGCAGTGGAAACGCAGCAACTGAAAATGGCAAAACCCCACGCTGCATCAGAATCAGATGACCATACAAACACCAAATGGCCAGTGTTTTCCACTTCCCATCCAGAAACAAGCAGCAACAAAACGGAAATAAATGTTGATTGTTAAAATCAGTCCATTTTACTGAGCAGGGTGATACCAAAACGTTAAAAAAGGACCGATATCAACCGATAACGATGTTTGTACTGATATGTCGTGAATCCCGAGAAACATCACAAAACAAAAACCTAAATTCACTTAACTTAGTGTTTAAGTCAGATAAAAATCCTTGTAATCCATGTTTATGTGAACAAATTTTACAGTTGTTGTGTTATTTGTTTACTGCAAACACCTGAAAAACATTGACCTTTGCCAATAATGCAAACACGCAACACGAGTTGCAACTTTGTGAAGTTAGGAATCATGAAGACATTTTGAGTCAAGAAATATTGAAACAGAGTATATGAGAGTCAATATTTACGGTACCTCTCTGCAGTATGTGTTTATACAAAAGGACGGTTACTCATTTCTGTTGCTGCATCAGTCAGTAACTTTTGAGTGGAGTAACCTTTGGTTTAAGTGAAAGTGGAAAAGAAAAACATGCTATGCCTGCAGCAGCTATGATTTCTTTACTGTAAACAAGAGAGGTGGAAGATGTTCTCCGAAAACGATGACTAATCACATGGCATTCTCAGTATCTTCACAGTTGTTTCTTGCGTTACTTTTGAAATTTGTTTCATTTTTGCCATGTTTATTCTAGTAGAAAAGTTTATAACAGAATTTTATATTTTTGCTAACGTGTCACCTTACCCGTTTCCTCTTCGTTGGTTTGCTGGTCCGGATTGTCCACATTTTCATCGGCCTCAAAGCCCTGGTTGACTGTGGGGTTCAAACCCCCTGGTCAGATCCATGTTAGTTTGATTAACACTTTATGTGGTAAAGTCCAAAAATAAAATATTGAGTAAAAAAGAAGAAAAACCTTCAAATTCTAAATCATCAGAGATATCCAGTCCATCCATCATTCTCAAGATGCACAAACCGTAGTTGGAGTCAAATGCGTCACTATAACAAAAAACAAACACTAAATCAAATACCACAGTCTATTTTTAGCATTTATATTGCAGCTGCTGATAGTTCAGAAATTACATATTTTGAGCCAGTTGAAAAAAAACCCTCAATCTTACTAAATGGTGCTGATGTAATCCTCGATGCTTTCCGGAGCGCTGTCCCTCCAGTTCGTCTTGAAGCCCAGAACCAGAGTGTTGGGTTTCAGTTTACCAAGACCGGACGCCTTGAAAAGATTGAAGGTGAACAGTTAATATGATAAAATTTTGATTAAATATAGTTAAAGCACTTTATTTGATGGAATATTTATTTCAATGTTTGTCATTTTTAACCTTTTTAAATAGTTTATTTCTGGAACTTTGCAACACACACTCTAAAATGAACCGAGATTTATAGGTTTTCCAGCCTTCCAGAGTCCTTTTATGTTTGAATTAGCAGTTACTGCAGTGTTTACTTTGGTATTTTTGGATTTCCTAGTAAACACATTGGGAAATGATTAAAATAAATAATTTTTGTTACCTGTAGCATCTGCTTAGCTCCAGCCCTTAAGTTGTCAGCAGTGAGAGGAGTGTAGAACGACCGCACCTTTCTCTTGTTCATCCACTTAACCAGGTAGTTTGTGGTGTCCTGAGGCCGTGTCTTCCTGTCCTGCTCCTAGAAAGGGCAAAAAAATAGTGTATTTCATTTATAGAAAGATTCAGTGAAGTTAAATGGGACTGAATGGCAACCAGAAATAGCAGTGTTGATAAAATGTAGTTTTATGCTCATTTTTTAAAGGGATTCTTGGTACATTTGACCAAAAGCTCCTACCAGTATTATATCACCACAGATCATGAGGCTGACGTGCTTCGTGAAAGAGCCAACGAAGTCCACCAGTGCAGGCCGCTGGTTTGGAGGGCCAGTCAGGACGAGACATTGGGGCCTGAAAGAAGACAGGAGAAAGCAAAATTTGGAATTGGTAATGCTTTGGACAGAATGCCGAGCAAAAGTTTAAAATCGATCTAATTTGTTTATGTTTCAAGTCCAAAGAGCTATGAGAAGTTTTAATAAAGTGTGGACTCTATTGGCCCATTTGACCATCATCAAATAGAATGTTTTTGTCTGTTTTATAGCCACTCCTTTAGCTTTTATGTTAATATCAGATAAAATGGGATTTCTTTTATAAAGCAGACATGTTGTACCCATTTATTAAACTCTGCATTAAGGTTTCCCCTGTCCCCAAAAAAGAAAACATACAAACAGATTTCCTGATTAGCTTTTATGCTATATGAGTAGACAAAATTAGGATTGAGTTTTGACATGTGCCAGGCAATGCAAAAAGATCTAATTTAAAACTGGTTCATTGCCCTTCCCTTCCAGACAGAACGTGTCGTCAATGAACCAGTCAAGTGTACAGTACCGTAATTTCGCCATACTTTGCTCTACCTTACCTCCCTTATAGCATCGAGTGAAATTAATTTGAAGGACGGTCTTTTAATTGACAGTAAATAGCAAAAATAACTTGCTAGATATTGAAAAGTCCACTTGTTATGGATAAATGGGCAAATAGATGTCCTCACAGGACCTTTTGAAGGACCGCGTAAAATTAAAATGAGCAAAAACGTCCAAGAATTGGATGAGTAAGAAAATTTTAAAAATCTATAAACAAAGGAAGGATCATTATTGGGTTAATGAAAATATATTGAAAGTCTACGATATTCTTTAGGACGACTCACCTGAAATTCTTCACATGATCCTCCACTCCGGTCAGAGAGACGGAGTAAGATAAAGCCATGTTGTATGTGCCTGCCTGCACCGACGAACCCCAGTTTACCTCTGTGGAAAGGGAAATGATGGCTTAGCAAGAGCAAATGCAAAAAAACGTTTTCTGCTTGCTTCCAATTAAACTCAGCTGAACTGAGCTCAGGTTGAATGAGCTGCACCACTCGGTTTGTTGTAGTTGACGTATCCAAAGAGGAAGATGATGATGCAGAATGTGACCAGAGCGGCCCACCAGGTGAACAGGAACATCAGCACCACAGATATGACTGATCCAAACAGTGCCGTCCATTTGCTGTAGTACTGGAAGGACGGCCTCCAGCCTGAACGAGTCGACAAATATGACGTGTTTTCCCGTGTTACCTGCTTTAAATGTGGGGCTAAAAGTTTGTCTGAAATGGCCAGATGTACTTTTTGATATTTCTCTCTGAGAAGGGCTGTTGGGCTGCTATGAACCCAGTTCACTTATGGAGTGTAAAGAGGCAGAACTTTAGGTAGTTACCTGCAGATTTGGGTAGTAACTAATTACTTTTACTTGAGCAACATCTTTTGAAAAATGTACTTTTAGGAGTATTTTTACTATGCTGACTTTTACTTGACTTATTTTGTTAACATAAGTCAAGTTTATTGACTTATTTTATGAGTTATTTTGTTGTCCAAAATAACCTAAATTGCATATAATTTGCTCTTAAAATAAACTGCATTTTGGGTATCTGTTATTTACACTACATCAGGGTAGGACTAATTTCAGATACTAGCAACAGCAATTACTTAATCACGAATTTTAGATTATATTAACTGAAAAACGATTAATTAACTTTTTTTAAAAAAAAAAAGGTAAGCGACTTACCAGGGGAATTGGTGATAGACGCATGAAAACAACTGAAGTTAATCAAGCAGTAGGAGCAAAGGAAGAAATTAGAGATGAGAGCAGCAATGATGTTAAGCTCCGCTGTATTGCCACATGGGGGTCAAAAAGACAAAATGTAAAGTTACACCATTAACCTTTGTAAAATATGAGTAATCATTTGTAAAGATATCACATCTCACACACCAATAAGGATGAAGGCTATAGCAATGACGTAGCAGAGTACGTAAGCTCGAAGTGGCTCGTTGTTTTTCCCATAACCTTTCGCGAAAAAAATGATGTACGGGTATATTTGGTCCTTGCACAGACACTGGAAAGCAAAGAGAATAATTTATTTTTTTTCCAATCATTACACACAATTTAGTATAAGGGGCCATTTAGGACAAAACCTATATTTTGTCTCTCACGCTACTAAAGTCTCATACACACACACAAAATTAAAATTGCTCAAATACACTATTTAAATATCCAGGTGTGGAAATTAACAAATTTTCTCCACCAGCCACTGTTTTTTTTTTCTTTTCTTTTCTTTCAATTACAAATCCCACTTGTACAAGCAAATTACATTAAACACATGGGTTTTTTTTTCCTTAATGCTATGAAAACCAATTTACTGACAATAAGTTTACCAAACATATGTACATATACAAACTAATTAACATAAAGCATGAACACCTTAACAAAGGTGTAGTGCAATGAGTTCACTTGTAGTAATTACTAACAGCAAATTCAACAACACAACCCAAACATTCATGTAATCATTTCCCATGTTGAATATTTCATATAAAAATATGGTAGTGATACCTTCGTGTGGTAATTAACATTGGTTTTTTGACACATTTTTCAAAATGCACTTGCACACATTTTAGCTTCATTTGTAGTTTTTCTGACCTGCCCTGTTTTGTATCCGCTCACTTTTCTCGGACTCCGAGCTGAAATGACTCTATTTATAACCTCAGTGGAGAGGGGCGGGGCCACGGAGGACTGAGGGATTTCATTGGATCAGCCCAATGTCCGTCAATGAAAACAATCAATGGGCTGCCGCAGTCGAGTTTGATACCTTGATAGATTGATACCTTGACGCTGTTGGCGAGTCCATATTCACAAAAATTAGATTTGATACATATTTTTTGTTAAATTATGACATCCTTGGTCTGTCCCACATACACTATATGTACCAGTCTGCAGTTCAGTCACCCAATCCTTCCCTGGACAGAAGCTGAAACTGAATGCACCTTCTTGTTTTTATCCTGTTAAATTGTCAACCCGCCGTAGTGGCAGGTGCAGTGCTCCAATTTACACCACTTCATAATTTTACCTGCATTTGGCCAGTGGCGGGTGCTTATTTCCACTCCTGAAAATATCACACGCATACAGTTTCTCTCTAACGCACACAAAATACTAAAATTGCACATGTACACCATTAAAATGGGTAAAGCTGAAGTAAGCAGCTTTCAAGCCCCAATTGAACCGCCAACATCCAGAGGAGGGAGCGGTAGGGAACAGTCTTGTGTCTTGTGTGTGTGTGTGAGAAAAAATAATGCATGCGCGTGCAATATTTTATTCGTTTATACGTGCAATCTTAGTCTTTTATATATACGTTAGAAAAAATTTTTGCGTTTGATTTTTTTAATAGTGCATATGCACAAGTTTACTATTTTGTGTGTGTGGGTAGGTGAGAGACAGAGCATATTTTTTTTTGTTCTAAATGACCCCTCATAATTTTGTGTCATAAAACTCAATACTTTTATTACAGGATGCTGTCTCACCTGAAAGATTTTGGGTGCAGAGACAAGAAAACCCAGAGCAGAAGATAAACTGGCAGCAAAGACACCCGCAGTGATGAGGTAGTAGAAACCGGAGACTTGCCCTAGAACCTGTTGGAATATTTGAGGAAATTAAACAGTGATCATTTTGTAAAGCGACCCTTAAAGAGTGTAAACGGACAAAACAGTCAAGTGAAACAGTCAAGACTATCAAACTCCGACAACAAGTGTGATTGATACCTTGACGCTGTTGGCGAGTCCAAATCGACAAGTCTGCGACTGGCTGCAGGCTGTGAAGTTCCAACCCAAGTTACACGCCAGTCCCACGCAACCATCCGTGTTGTTTCCTGTCACGATGTGACTTTTATTCCCAGAGGCATCCCGCACTACACATGAGCCTGGAAAAAAAATAAATAAATACTCCAAGTGTGAGCTGAGCTTCACGGTATTTACCACATTTTTTTGATAACTACAGTTTTTTTTACTGTATGGACGCTAACCTGGAAAATTTCTTCTTGCATTTTCATTTTGTTCAACGATTTTAATGACAGTTATCATTGGCAAACACTAACTGCATCAAACCCAAAGATTTACTGAGCCAATCAATAATTAGACAAGGTGATGGTAGGAATGTGATAAAAGTAACCCACCGACAGTTACTGTTATCCCCAGGTAGCTGATTGTTGTCCAAAAAATAGCCATCAATGTTCCTTTTGGGATAGCTATTGCAGGGTCCTGCGAACAGAAAGCTGATCATTACCTTGTTCCCTGCTGCTCAATGCCTTTCTTTCAGCCTTGTTGAGTTTCAAACCTTTAGATCTCCAGAGATGTTGGCCCCAGACAGAATACCAATGGCAGCAGGAAAGAAAATGGCAAACATCTGGAAAAAACTGCCTTCAGAACCTCGCCAGTTTGGTGTGAGGTTCTCGATAAAAATATCGCCTGTAGAGAGTGACATCGAGTCAGGCATTGCGTTTCCATTTACGTTGTCGACTGTAGTGTTTGGTGCAAAAGAGAATATTCTTTACCCCGGTATCCGAAAATGCCGACAGCTTGCTTATCAACAGTTGGAGGGATTACGGTGCCAATAAAGTAGTTTGCGAAGGACACCAAAAGCACTAAGAAGAACAAAATCTGGGTCTGAAAGCAACACAAAACAAGTTATTTAAAAACCACGATTAAGTCAAAGAACATTTCATAAACTAAACAAAACAGTGTTGCTTTGTAGCACAAAATGTCCCACTGATAGACTCACCTTGGACTCCCACTCCATTCCAGCCAGAGAAATCATAAGAAGAATTGTGACTGTGACTACCCCCACAATGCGGACGTCATTGACTGAATCCACCATGACGGCACCAAAGTCCTAAAATTAGTGACATAATTCTCAAAAGAGCTATGCAACGTACTGGGTTTTAAACTTGTATGATTTTTATTTCTCTCTGAATAAAAAAAGTATTGACATAAGATGAATCGGATCCACCTACGTGCATCAAATCACGAACCACCTCTGCAAAACCAACAGTGTTGAGCGCACAGGCCAGCGCGTTTGCAAAGGAGAACACCATTCCAATTGGTCCTCCGATTTCAGGACCCAGCGTACGGGAGATCATGAAATATGCGCCGCCTGCAAAGTGTTTCACACACACACACACAAAAAGGACTTTTTTTAATGAAAAGAAAACACAAATAATAAAACACAGATTACAGCAATAAGCTTTGCATTGGCACTCAAAATTATTCCGATCGCATCAACTTAGGTTTTTTTGTTTTTACTTTTTGTCGTATCAGTTGTTAATGTGTCTTTATTGTGATTTTGTGTGATTGAAACACAAAATAGTGTAGAACTATGAACTGGAAAGAAAGTTAGATTTATTTTTTTTTTTCCTGGTACCAAAAATCTGTCTTTCAGAAAAATGTAAAGGAACCCATATTTTATCAGAATGTCCAGCCATGGATTTTTCTTTTGAACATCACTTGACGATGTCATATTAACACATGGACATGTTTGATTCAGACTATTCTGTCAGCTCTGGCTGTGTCTAAGCACAAGTGGCGTAAAAAGATGTTTTGGGGGCGGGGGCTCACGTGTTAAAAAACAAAAAAAAAACAAAAAAAGGGCACCTTGTACGACTAATGAAACTGCTGGTAGTTTACTTTGCTGGATGTCTGCTTTAAAAGGTATTTTTACTTTGGTTCTGATAGTCTGTATTACTCTATGACTTTGAAGAGAATAATTATAATATCTACAGTATAATTGTAACAAATCACATGCACTTCCTGCACTAATTTCTAAATCCAGCAACGAATGTGAAATAAACTTTGTTGATATTCCATCAATGCTTCTATTAAATAAGAAATACAGTTAAAATCACGTGAATTGGTTTGATTAACACAATAAATTGTTGAAACATACGCTTCAACCCAGTGGAAAAATTTCTTTACATAAAAAGTGTTTTTTGTTTTTTTTAAATTAGTGTTTACATTGGGAAATTTATTTTTAGAATTTGCTCAAATTTCAGATCAGCCGCAGCCAATTTATATAAACTTACACAAGAAAATTTGTCTCTTTCTTTCATTAACAGTAAAAGTAGGTTATCAGAATAAAACAGAGTAAGGATAGTTGCAAGGCAATTCTCAAGCATTTTTGTCTTACACTACTTACTTTACAGTAAAGTGATGTACAATTTGTTTGTACTGATGACCCAAGCTACATGTTTCCCATCATTTTTAATTTATAATAATGCAAAGAAATTTTTACATTTCATTACTTTGCTCATGGACTCACCTGATACCACCCTCCCATTGGTGGCAATAGCAGAGATGGACAGTGCAGTCACAGACGTCACCACCACGGACATCAGGATAATTACACAAGTCAACACTGTCATCAGACGAATATATATATATGTATTAGTCATAATTATAACTAATTCCTGTATTTCATTTTCTTCTTTGAACATGTTCACAAACTAACTTAGCAAATCTGTTAGTTTTATTTTTCTCTTTTCTTCTTCAAATCAAGTATCCAAATCATTGCAAATATAATTCATTCACAGTTTAAAAAAAAATGTGCAACACCATTTTACCACATTGTGTTTGGGTTTTCTGCCCTCCTTTTGTTTGAACTGTCACATTTTCAAATAGAACAATCAAAGATTTTGTACAAACTTCCAGATTAATTTACGTGTGATAACACGGAGAGTTCCAGTAACATCAGTGGAAAAATATATATATATTTATATATATAACAATAAAAATCAATATTTTCTCAAGATAAAATTCAGTGTGCTAGTTTATTATCAAATAAACTGAGTTCCAAAAACCCGGAAGGTTTGACTCACGAATGCCTGCCTGAGACGTGATCCAAGAGAGACGCAGGAACAAGATAACACCCCAGATATTCAGCATGCAGCGGACCTGTTACGAAAGACCAGTGACGTTTGTACAGTGACCAAGTCAGTGTGCTGAATGTGATTTATTTTTTTATAAATGTTGCATGTTGGACATTTTGTTACCTGCATTAAATTCAGTATGAAAGAAACAAAATCTCACCATGACGCCGACTATCCAGCCAAATCTGACTGGAGCTTTGCCCTGAGGACCTTCAGACTCTTCGTTTTCCATATCTGGTGCCGGCAGGCTGCCTGAGTCAGAGGCGGACGCTCCATCCATCTCCACAACCTTTAGTGCAACGGAAACAACCAGTGACACTGAACCATCTGATGGTCTTAAACTGTTTAATAATTTGTTTAAAGGGGCAATGTTAGGCGTTTTTGAGGCACATCAAATTATTGTAGAGCACAAAATGTTACCTCAGTTGTTATAAAATTGCTACGTGTATCAAAAAATAAATTTAACACCTTAAAATTTGCCCTTTGTCTCTTTAAGAAAGTTATTTTTCCAACAGTCTGCCTTCAGGAAGTCATCACAACATTGCTCCTCTATTAAACCTTTAACAGCATTTTTACCAGCGTTGCACTGAGTTGTAGCTCCTAGAAAGAGCTTAGCTGAGGCTAGTTCCATCAAATGATAGCTAATTGCCTCTGGCTAGTATGAAGGAGCTGAGTGGGGGAGTCACATCTCTATGTGAGGTGGAAGCTAGGAAACTTCAGCTTTGGTTCAGATGACATTTTGGACATCTGAATTGTTGCCATGTGAGAATCAAGGATTTCTTAAACATGCATGAAAAACTCAAGTCAAAATTACAAGTATGATTTTAATTATAACATAATGTAAAGCTAAAAAAAAATAAGCAAATTTCACATAATACTGCTGCAGTCTGAATAGTAATATTTATCAGATTCAATTTAAATGGGCTAAATTTTATTGGTTACATTAACATTATATGTTTTCACATATCCTGCCATTGATGTAGTAAAGAAATCGAATCCACCTAGCAGAAAACGCATTAATAACAATTAGCCAAATGGCATGAACTAAAAGACAAACATACCTCAAATGTTTTGCGCAGGGTTTCAAGAGACGGCCTGCTTTTTGTCATCTGACGTGGCAAAGAATTGGCATAATTCTCCAGCTGGGGCACCAGGTCCATGGTGCTGTAGACGGAGGACCTGCGCAGCTCTGCCCTGGAGCCGCGACGCTCTGATGTACTGCATGACAAGATACAGAATCATGTCTATCAAACTGTAGCTTTTGTTTGAAATCTTCCAGCTCCACTTTTGCTGCTTGTTGCAAGCGCAGGGTGAGTGAAGAGTAAATCTTCTAAGACGCGTGACTGATGGGAAAGGGGCAGGGCAAGGTCAAATATGCATTAGTGGTGCAAAGCTCCGCACTTGTTACAGTCTGTTAAACGTCCACAACTTTTTATTTTTTACAACATTGTGAACTACCTGCTCCTCTGAACTATAAATAACAGATTGAGACAACCTTGTATTGGGCATTCTCAATTGCTTTCTTCTGTATGGTTATAAAAACACACTATCAAAGCCCGGTGGTGACCCAAACTCACCATGAAGCTGGTTTAGACCAGAGGATCAGGCTGATGTCTACTTTTTTTTTTTTTTTAATGTGTGTCAATATTGTTTTAAGGTAAACTGTTTTTGGTTGATACAGCTGATTAGCATTTCTTCAAGCTGAGGAAAGAAGCTCTATATCTTTTCTTCTTTATTTCCCGATGGCTTTGTTGGAAGTAAAACACAGCAGCATTGGAGGGAGGCAATTCGTCATCTATTCCTAACCCGATATGAAAGCAAAAGTGAACTTTCTGTTGAGAGAAAAAAAAATGCCTGTCCAAAATGTAAAAAAAGGACTTTTAATGACGGCACCGACCTGGACTCCTCATCAGAGACGATGATGGTGGGAGGGATCCGGATCCCATTGCCTCCATTTACGGTGCCGCCGTTAAAGTGGTGTGAAGAATACCTGGGAGGTCCTTCCTCATTGGAGGAAAAGTGCACACTCTGGGCCAGGTTACGTTTGGATGCAAACTGCCCCATTAGTGCGTCCTGGTGCTTCCTGTGGAGTGATAATCATTTGACTAGAATACACTAAATTAAAGAATTTACTTTACTTTTTTTAAATCAGAATGCTAGACTTTAGGATCAAAATCTAAATTAACGAGAGAAATGAGAATAAAAAACCTTGAAGGAACACTGAAAATTTTGCTGATTTTCTAAGAACATAAATAGAATTTTTGTAAGACCACAAAATAAACAATATTGAACAGATACTGACATTTTTCCTCGTTTTGATTTTTTTTGGACATCATCTATGAAGTCTGTATAGCACATAGTATACCATCACTGATTACTGTACATTGACCATACGCATAAAATAGGTGGAGTTTGTGCGTTATGATATTTTATTTTAGTGTGAACTCCTCTTACAATGTGATGTTTCACTTGGTAATAATATGGTAAATTCTGGCAAATATAATTTCACATGCAAAAATCCTGTTTAAGCCATTATTATATCTGAAGTTTCTCCCAAATGAGAAGCAAAGAACAAATATTAGTCCGTGTTCCAATTTTAGACTCTGAAAAAGAGTTATTCAGTCTAATATGAAATAAAAAGTTGAAAGAAAGAAAAAATCTTATACTCACAAGTAGTTCTGTAGCTGATGAAAGAGCTGCTTGATCTGTCCCCAGGTCAAACATACACCTTTTATCAATGCACCGCAAAACTCTTGTAATTTATACCTTGATAAGTCAGGTTACAGCCCTCCCATTTACTACATGCACTTTCCTCCCCCTCAGACACACGCGCACACACAGTCACACTCATTCTATGAGGATGCGTGGGTGTTCAAAATACACACACCCAGACACATGCACAGGGAAAGGAATGCGTGCCCACAGTCACACATATGCAAATGTGAGTCTATAATGCCTTTTGTTGAGGCACAAATGGTTTCCAATTTTCCACATCCAGTTTCTGGAAAATAATGTTTGGAAATGTGAGTATTAGACACAAAACTATGAGAGCGTGAGCATGGTAGCAGTAAAGTTACAGGGAGAGCAAGTGGGTGCTAACTTGCCATGGTGGCTTTGAAAGATTAATACAACTTGCCTATGTTGTTACCCAACGTAAAATCAATCGACTTTTTTCCCAAGATTTGTTTATCTGTGTTACAATGTAGAAATGTCACAAAAAACAAAGCTACACAACAAAATCCCAAATTTAGATCTTTTTTTTTTCCATTTCAGATGGAGATGGTCTTTTCTTTTAATTTTTAAAATTAGTTTGAAATTCAAACTTGTCAAAACTCTTTAAAATGAGTTCGTATATGAGCTTAAACCGAAACTCAACTTTTTTTCTTTTTTTTTTTTTTTTTTCCAGATCTGTTGACAATACATGGGCTTGCAGTGTTTTCTACGTCAATAAAAAAACAGGAAGATCCTCCTCTGCGTTGTCACTGATCATAGTATCAGGGCCCCGTATGCCTCTCTAGTCCATTTTAGTCCAAGGAAGAATTGATTTCAGGAACGTTAGCCAAAAGCCATCAGAATGATGCCAAACACCTACTGATCAATTTCTATAAAAAACTAACTAATATATAAGATTAGTTAGCAACACCTCAACCTGCAGGTTGAGGTGTTGCAGGAAACTGAGAATTGCGTATTGCAGATACACTGAAGCAAACACAAATAGGTGCTTGAGTTTGGATTGTGGTTAATGTTCTACATTGTCCTTTAACAAAGAGGTTTTGGATAAAATGCCCAACTGACTAAAAACGAAACATTACAATAACTTTGAGATCCCATTAACAGGTGGAGATTTTACTTTTTTTGCAGTGTGTTCTCCATAGTCCTGCTATAATTAGACTTGCTGTCAGGAGTTGAATACCCGACTTGCACACAAAGCCTTTGTGCTCCAGCTGAAGCCCCTCATTGCCCCCACACTGCTGGAAGAAGAAGAAGAAGAAGATGATGTCAGGTACATCTTTGGTGATCCCAAACTGAAATATCAACCTTTTATGTTCTGCTTGGTGCAAAAGGAAAGAACAGAATATGCTTTCATTTTTTATAAGTTTTGAAACTCTGACGTTGCTGAAGCGGTTTGAAATACTGACATGGTGATGAGAATGCTTCCATAGGAGACTTTATGGCTTTGAGACTTTATACCTTATTTATTATACCTTTGTAACTTATTGCTTTATTTGTCATAGGCCTCATCACACGTCCAAGTCTCAACTGCAAGGCCTGCATGAATTTATTTTCTACAGGCTCCTGCAGACATTCAGGTTCAGCCCAGATTTTTGAAACATTCAGCTTTGCTTGGATGTAATAGCAATGGATACAAAAAATTAATTAATATTCCATTGACAAATCATGACTTTCCTTCTTTGTTAAAGCTTCTCCTGTACTGAGTAGACCGTTTTTAAGTCTGTGTATAATGAAGTTCCTCTTTACTTTTCTAACGAAATTTAACATTCTTGAAGTATACTGCTGAGTTAAATCGTAACACAAGGAGTCATTTCATTGGTACGGCTTGTGGTTGTGCTGTGGTAGTTTCTTTCTCAGCTGGCATTTTTGAAGATCTGACCTATAAACAAAGGAAATAAGTAATTGAATGGCTGATTTGCTACGTAAAGCTAAAACAAATTTAGCAAATCTTTAGTTTTAAGTGGATGGTCGCATACTTACCATTGTCTCCTCTTTTCTTAGTGTGTTCAGGCTGAAAGGTTCAAAACATGGACCTGTAATTATCTCTTCAGGTTGAGTCTATTTCTCCAATGCAGACTCAGGAAGAGTTCTTTTCATAAGTGGGAGTGTTTTGTTGTTGACTTACAATTAAAAAGAAAAAAAAAAACACTTGTTGCATCTTTGATAGTTGTGCAGGACTTTCCACTTCTGCTTCTGAGTCACCAGAAGCAGAAATGGCTGTACAACATGATAACTGCTGTACAGCCGTGCATCTGTCTGCTGCACACATATTCACGCGTGAAAGTGTGAGTAAAAGTTGAGATTGGGGCAGGGGCCACCGGGGAACCTTTCCAGTAAATTCCAAAATATCTTATTTTACAGTGAGTTTCTTTGAATCATCCTTTTACAGTTTCTCCCACTCTCTCTGATTCGCGCTGCACTCCCCGTGCTCTCAACTTGTCTGCCGTTGGTGTGTTTGTTCATGAAAGCTTGACTCATTGACCTGGACCAAACCTTTATGACAGCAAGGGTCATAAAGGTCCAAACAAAGCAAGTGGATTCACACATCCTACATCACAAGTCAGCTTCCTGTAGGTGAGCAGAGGCTAGGGCTCGCTTGTTATTTTGTTTTGTAAAGACAGGGCGATCTGCTCTTCTTCTACTCCGGCCCTCAAGGTCCGGTATTCTGCATACAGTAGCTCTTTCCCAGGTTTATCATAAACGAATCACAATTTCGATTTCTTAGCGGGTCTCAGTAGAACTTTGACATGCTGAGGAGCTAGTTGGACCCTTTGAATCATCTCTGTTGGAGCTGTGACACTGGCCTAGTCGATGAGGAATGAACTGCCTGTAAATTTGTGAATGACTGTGAAGTGAAGAGCTTTGGTGTCCTCTGGCGATCCAAGTACAGGCCATTTTACATGTTACTATTTACCTTCACTGGGTGTTTAAAGGAACATCTAGCAAAGATGCTCTCAGCGAAAGAGCTTTTAGCCAGTAGTGCATGGAAACAATTTCACCACATAAACAACATTTCAACAAATAGATGTTTTAGTTGTCTTATTTCGATTTATTAACCCTGTTTTAACAGGAGTAGGTGGGCTGAATCGAGCTTGCTGAAAACACTTTAACTCCTATTTTCCAGCTTTGATGATGTGGATAAGAGCTCACCAGATCGGGATTGTAATGCATTCCTGAGCACCACTGAACTTTAATCTGATTATTGGATTGTAAGTAGCATTGCATTACATTACGCCTTACATGCGGTCAGATAACGCGTTGATGACACCATTGTTTGACATTTCCGCTCAAGCTATTTACGGATCTGTCAGGTTTCAATATGTGTTTTGCCTCGTGATAAACTTGTTTCTACGCCCTTGCAGCTTTGAATAGTGAAATGTTGACATCATATTTAATCCCTAATGGAAAGTTTTCAAATGTTTACATCAAAAACGGCTTTGTTCTGACTGAAGATATTATGTTATGTTTTGGAAAATAAATCGTGATTAACAATAAAAATGCATTTTATAGAAGGCTCCAGACATGTCACAGTCGTCCATCGGTTCATTCTGGGCCGAGTTGTTGTATCTGACCATCTCATCACTGACCCAGAACCACAAATCCAGAGTGCAGGCATAGCTCAGTCCAATCCAGACATAATCAGTTGAAGCAAATTGAGCTTTTTGCTGGACTGATCTCTGATCGTCCATGGTGGTGATGGTGACCAGGTCATAGTGGTTCTCTCTGCAATAGGTCAAGGCGTCCTCCCAGGTTTTATTGTCTGTGATCAGGATCAATGTACTGTCTGTTGAAATAAGGAAAACAAACAATTACTTTATTTAAGTTATTCCTGCAGACTCATCCATTTATTCTTTCATAAAAATTTCCTAGTAAGAGTTCTTTAGATTATGGGATGTATTAGCTGCATGATCAGACTTTAATTTACTTATTTCTAAATTTACTTTTCTGGTAAAATGTTAATAGGAAAGAAGGGTTTAGTTTCAGGATCCATAAGATTTTGAAGAATCACAATTTTAATGCAAAGAAGCAAAACAAAGTCAAATCCTGAATTCTGACATACAGATTGTCAGAATGCATGATTTGACTTTGGGGTTGTTACTTTAGAGAAAGTTTGTGCAAGAAAAGCGCCCTAAGCACCCTCTTAAACATTCCTTTTGTTTTGTTTTATGTTTTAGAGAAAAACATTCAGGCGGTGTTACTTATGTAGACACATTTAATCTTATAACAAACCTTTAGTCATTAGTATTTACACAAATACAAAGTGAAATCTTTGTTGATCGGAATTTGAGTTTTAAATAGCAATTTGTCTCTTTTAGGCATTTTTATTCAATGTTTTATTTTTAGAGTTTTGTAAGAACAATTCACCACCATAACAGATGTAGTGTTTTCTTTCAGTGCAGTTCTCATTCCTCCATCTGCCTCCATCATCAAACACAGTCATGGCACATTGACCACTGTTGATTATCTCATTATTAAACTGTAGATTCCAGTGTCTGAAGGAGGAACTGTTTCCATCTGACCACCTCCAGGTGTCACTGAACAGACCAATGAAGATGTTCCTTGAATTTGCAGTCATTAAATTTAACCCATTGTTCACTTTTGCATCCTTTAGCTGCTTCAATCCACTGATCAGGTCTGTGTGTTTCTCTCTGCAGTAACTCTGAGAGCCAGATCTTTGATTCATAAGTCAGGTGATATTTCTGTAATGAGTCATTTTCTGTGAAACAAAGTCAGAGCACAAAACACTTTCACGTGTAAGTTTTGATGTAAACATCAATGAGAGGGTTTGGACAAAAACAAAGAACTATTTTGTTGCCACTGTAGCAGAAAAAAAAATGTTTTTTATTACAGGATAAACCTCCTCACTTGAGAAACACATTGGATTATTTCCATGTAATCCCACTTTGGCCTCCAGGTCCCTCATTATTTGGTTCACTTTTTCCTAAGTTTGTCTCACTTTTAGTGAACTCCACTCCAAGACGAGACCAGTGCCACGTCCTCTCTGCTTTTGTTTGATCATACAGACCAATCCAAGCTTCCTTTATATATCCTAGTTAGATACTGATGAGTCTCTCCATGTCTGTCACATTAGTCACTGTGATCAGGTCAGTGTGTTTCTCTCTGCGGTACTGCTGAGCTTCAGTCCAAGTTTTTTACTCACTGATATAATCATCAGATGAAAAACCATCTGATGATTCTGATCTAAAGACAGAACATAAACAAACTTAGTTATTTAGAAGACAGTTTAATGCACACAATCACCAAACTCTTGTTCTCATCCAATTATTTAATGAGCCCATATTAAATTACAATAAATTTTTAGTAAAATCCCAATAGAGAAACTCACCCATTACAGTAAGAAGAAACAGAATCCACTGCATATTTACTTTGTCTGTTTTGAACACTAAAGAAAAAAAACACATCAAATAATAAATGTAATTTCCAGAAATCGCTTCCCAATAATATTATATCTACATACAATGTTATTAAAGACGAACTTCCATCTGGTTTTCTCCATTTATATGAGGCCAAAATGATCCAACAGCTTGATGTTGGTTGTAGATCGTCCTCAGTGAAATGCTCAGTGCCTGAACACCGATCTCTTGTTTCAGGACCTAAACTCTATTTGAATAGTCAAACCAGATAATAATGTGCTGCTGTTTACACTCTGTAACCCAATACTTCTGTCAAGCCATAGGTAGATCACAGTCAGCTCAGATTCCATTAAAACCAATCCAAAATATTGATTTTGTTCTCAAAAGCATTGTTTTCATCATCGTATGATTTCACATCAGAAAGATGAGACCTGATCCTCTGTAACACCATGTTACCATTTTTTCAACATCATTCGACCCAAGTTATCTTGTTCCAGTTTAATTTCGCTGAAAACATTTTGAGGGGCAACAAAGAAATTCAAAAAGTTGTTTCACTTTAGCATAAGAAAGTCAATTAATTACAAATTTTATTGTTTTTAAATTTAACTCAACTTTACGAAGTGCAAAATAGGTTGCTTGAAAATAGAGCATTAAAAGCATATTTTAATATTTCTGAAATAAATTAAAAAAAAACTGAGCTGTAACCACGGCGATCAGTCTGCAGGTCAAAGGTCCTTCTGCTGTTCTTCCTGATCAGTCTAACAATGGCTGATCAGGAGCTGCTGCCTGATGGCATCAAAGGCCCGTCGTCATTCATGTACAGAAACACAGCAGGAAACGTATGCAAAGCTGAAAGAGGAAACCCAGAGACCTTCATTGTTTACAGTGAAGCAAAGTTTCAGTTCTTTTCATTTCTTATTTTACTGCATTGGGAGTTCCTAAATAAAGGTTACGAAAATCACATGTACAAGTGTTTAGTTTAGCTTAAACTGCTTTAATAGAATAAGAAAGTTTATAAAGCAGAAAAAGCCTCACCAAACAATGCTGTGAAACAATATTTAAAATAAAAACAACAATAATGTATTAATCCAAATAGTTTTCCTCTCTGAATGTTTCAACTCCTTCCATATTTTCATGTTGTTTTCTTTAGTCCCTCATCCAGCAGCGTCTCTCTCAGTGAGTCCTGACAGAGAGCAAAACTTCAGCTCTGAGTCTTTGACACTGAACTGTGGAGGAAACTCTGCTGGGTGGAGAGTGAAGATATTTTCAGAATCAGGTCACCTGACCCAAATACCAAACTGCTTTGACAGGTTCCTCATGTACCATTAGCAGTCAGTCTTCCCCTAAAGCAGAGTGCTATTAATGGGGATTTCTGACATGAGCGTCAAGATATTTTTGAAGGAAAAATATTGTCAGTTCAGATGATGGAGTTCTCACGTATTATGTGTGCCAACTAAGGCTACTATCAGAAAAGGTGTGTAAAAATGCAACAGCATATATTTTTAGGCATTTAGTCAGAACTAATGATACATTTCTGTCTTCCCTCAATGTTCTCACACAGTTTGGCTGATAGATCAGTTTTGATAAAAGGAAAAATCTCCCACAGGGAAACACCTTTAAACTTTATTAGCAAACCACCCGACATTTTAGATAAAACCTGCATGTATGTTCAGTGACATACTGTAATATACTGTCTAACGATTCCAACATGCAGTAGCTATTGTCACATGCTACACACAACCCTGTTGGCTTAGTGCTAATGTGTAGGAAAAAGTCAATTCAAATGTCAGATGCCTCAGTGTATATGTGTTCCTTGTTCCTTGCTATTTGGTAAAAAATAAAAAAAAATACAAAAAAATTAAAATCAAATACTGAGTATCTAATCATCTGATTATCAGTCATTTAATATAAAAAAAAACATCATCAGATGGATCAAAATTAAAAGTTAAGTGTAAATTTTGGCACTTTACGGACAAAAATAAAAAATAAATTCATACTGTACAAGTAACAAAAAATAACAAAATGCAGTAAAAGAAAATGTCTCCAAATTGGGTTTTTTTTTTCAATAAAAACATGTTTGTGATTCATTCATTGGATAGAAAATCAATACATTTTATTTGAGTAAGAGTAGCAAAACTTCACAAAAGATTACTCAATAAAAGTCAAAAGTCAGCATAGTAAAAATATGCCTAAAAGTACATAAAAAATAAAGAAATAAAACCTTATTCAAGTAAATGTAACTGATTAACTGTATCTTGTTTTTACTCAAACATCTGCACCATTAGACCTTCAGGATACCCAGTTGACAAACCTCATGAGTCATGAGTCGGTAGAATGAAGGCCCTCAGGTACCATCACAAGTCGATGTTTGTGTCAAAGCACTTTGTTGTGGTTGTCGCTATGTCTTGTCATCTCCGCTGTATCTGAGATGAGGTAAAGTCTAAAAACTTTCTCTCTCTCTGCAGCAAAGATGCAACAATTTTGTACCCGATGATAACATGATCATAGAAACACACAGCAGATTATTTCTGTCCCTGCCTGTGAGGTCACTTGTGTTGTCTCTTCAACATTTTTCGCTGAGTCAGATTGTGTTTTCTGTTGTTTTTGAAGGGAAAAAAAAGTCATTTGTTGCTGCAGCAGAAGAGCCAAACCTCTTGTTGAGGAACGAGATATTTTGCACCTGAGGCTTGTTTTTGTCTCGTCTCCCTAGGTCCGTTAATGTCGTGTGTAAAAGTGAGACCACAAAGACAACAGTCACTCTTCAACTTCCCAATCAACCAGAGTTTATTCACACAATCAAATGCATAAAATCACTCCAACATGGTCCTCAGATACCAAAGCCAGAAAGGAAATATAAAAAAAAAAAAATGCAAAATACGAAGATAGGCCTTCAGAGATCACTGTGTGGCAGTTCAGAGAGTTCCACCCCAGTGATCTGACCGGCTGTTTTAGCTCAAGTACTTTTATATCGAGGTGGGTTCTTACTGTCTGATGGGATTTTGACAGTGTTTCAGAGGTGGTCTCCTGCTTACAAACAGAATCACGACCATGCAGGTGTAATCCAAAATTGAGGGATGAATTCATCTGCTGTCTAAACCGGGATATAAACAATAGATGTGTTCATTTCATGCAGAAACATTTTTCATCCTTTCAAACTGGTTCCTGAACTGCACAGAGCTCTCCTCTCCTCTGACCCAGTGCTTCAAACTGCAGAGTTTGATTCTATATAATTTTATATATCTTTAAATTCGTGTAAAATTGTGATCATAATATCTAAGAAAAATGTTAATGTTATATATCAATTAAACCATGAGTCTGACCTTAACTACTCAAAACTGTCATGATTCGTCTAATATTTCAACACACGCTAAAGTTCAACATCATTAAAATGATCAAACTTTAACATTTCCAACACTCTACATCTATAGAATGAGGTAGAGCAGGAGTTCACCCAGATGATCTAGTTAAAGTATTCTGAATCGACATCATATTAGTGACATCAGAGAGATTTCTCAGTATAAAACCTCATGTTGAACTTCCGTTACACCCTTCGACAGTTTCACTGGAACTAGTGAATGGACTGAATTCAGGGAACCTGAATGTTTGTCTTTGTTTTGGTACAGTTTAGCATTGTAATATTCTGCCATGTTTCTGAAACAATCATTTATACTAGGAAGACGGCGACCATTACCTGGAAGAAATTCCCAACCTTGACGGGCAAAGACGGGTCCAGGAGAAAGTCAAAATGTAGTGAATGTAGAGATTCAGCAGTTTAGCCTCGCCTTTATTTGACTACAGTGGCATCTGCTGGCCAATGGTTAACATTGCAACGTGGAACAATAAATGTTAAGGCAGCATTATGCATTTCCCACTTGTGGTACTTAAAACCCTTTTCTGAAGTTTAACTCTTTTGTTTTACATCAGTTAAAATGAGCAAAGTTGCTTCAATTTGCTAGATGTCAAACATACTGACAGACAGAGCAAATTAGAATTATTAATGTGTAGAACATGAGAAGTTTATATATATTCTCAGTATTTAGTAGCGTTACATTTGAACATTATATTTAAACAGTATAATGCAGAGGTCTGCAACCTTTCCAACACATAGAGCCATTTTGTTGTCAGTCTAGGTAAATAAAACTGGGTTAGAGCTGAAAATATCGCACAATTTGAAATAAAAAAAATATATATATATATTATTTCTGATAAATATCTACTGCAGGAAATCTCTTGTAATAATTTTCATTCATGTTTTTAGGTTTTTATAATCAAAGAGAACAAAACCTTTTGAAAGATATGATGGGTATTTTCTTTTATGTGAAGTTGATTTTTGCACATGTTTCCAGCATAATAAGGAAAATAGATTAAAATAAAATAGACTGGTACTTCTAGTGTCTCTCTGGTCCAAAGAGCCAGTTGTGGCTCCAGGGCCACAGGTTGCAGACCCCTGGTGTAAAGGAAGAGAAATGTGCACAAGTACAATCTAATTACAAAATGACCATGAACTGAGTTAAGAACAGAACCTCTAGTTTGAATTTCTACTAGTAGTAATTTTTTATCGTAGGTGAAATAAAAAGCTGCCACAGACTGACAGCAAGGTGAGCCCACCTCTCGCCTGAAACATTCACTAAAAATCAGAACCAGCAGCCCTCCTGACCCCAAGAGGGACAAGGGTGTTAAAAAATGGATGAAATAAAATCTATACTTCAACATAGTTATTAAACTATTTCTAAAAGCAAAAAAAGGCAAAGAACAATTTAACGCATACGACAGAAAAAGTTCAGCTTCTCTGTGTTGTTTCTTTGGAACCACATGTGTTTTCCTCCTGCATCCATGGCTCCAGATATTTCACAATCATTCATCTGTCCTTCAAAGTTTGGATTCTTCTTACAGACCCAGAACCAGACGTTCTTCAAGCAGCTGAAGTGCAGACCCAACCAGACGAAAGGAGTCGATGCATTCTTGACTTTCTCCTGGATCCATATCTGTTCATCCATGTTGGTGATGGTGACCAGGTCATCATGATGATCTCTGCAGTAGTTCAAGGCCTCATGCCAGGTTTTATTTTCTTTAATCAGGATCACTTTATCTGTCATAGGAGTAAAGGGAACAAACAATTCATTGTTCACACCTTTATTTGTATTATTCAGAAATCATGGCCACTAACATTATTTTACAGGAAACATGTAAGAGTAAAATGTTCACTTTTCATGTTTTGTGTAACTCTCAATAAATGTAGATATTATTTGAAAGATAAAAATTAGTACTTGCTAAATAATATATGAACCACTTTTTAAAAAAGAATGCACAAGAAGAAGCAAGAAGTTCTTTCAAATGAAGCTCTAATGTTATATGTGAAGAATTTGTGCTTATCAGAGCAACTCACCATCTGAATAACAGATGAAGGGTTTTCTTTCAGTGCAGTTCTCATTCCTCCATCTGCCTCCATCATCAAACACAGTCATGGCACATTGACCACTGTTTATTCTCTGATTATTAAACTGTAGATTCCAGTGTCTGAAGGAGGAACTGTTTCCATCTGACCACCTCCAGGTGTCACTGAACAGACCAATGAAGATGTACTCTGAATTTGCAGTCATTAAATTTAACCCCTTGTTCACTTCTCCATCCTTTAGCTGCTTCAATCCACTGATCAGGTCTGTGTGTTTCTCTCTGCAGTAACTCTGAGCTTCTGTCCAGTTCATTGATTCATAAATCAGGTGATATTTCTGTGATGAATTATTTTCTGTAAAACAAAGTCAGAGCAGAAAGCGTTATAACATTAAAGAGGAGGTCCAGACTATTTTCTCACTATTGTAGAAGAGAAAATTATTACACCATTTATAGAAATATTTGTTTTTCAAAGTGAATGTAATAATATAGTTACAATAAGAATAATGTGCAAAATAAACTTATTTTGTTTTTCTTTAAAACCTCATGTTTATTTTTTTATGACTTCAAAGTCTTAAAAGGCACAAATCTATATAAAAACAGTTTTCTCACCATCATAGCAGATAAAATTATGCTTCTCATTACAGGATAAATCTGCCCACTTGAAAAAAAGATAGCCATCTTTCCATATAATCCCACAGTTTTCGCCTTCAGGTCCAAGATTATTTGGTTCTCCTAGGTTCCAGTTTGTCTCACTTTCATCAAACTCCACTCCAGGCAAAGACCAGTACCATGTTCTGGTACCATGTGTTTGATCATAGAGACCAATCCAAGCTTCCTTTATATCTCCATCTGAGATGTTGATGAGTCTCTTCATGTCCTTCATGTTAGTCACTGTGACCAGGTCAGTATGTTTCTCTCTGCAGTACTGCTGAGCTTCAGTCCAGGTTTTATTCTCATTAATGTAGTGAAACTCATAGAGCTGACAGTCCATCACACAGCATTGACCTAAATACATTCAAAAGCTTGTTTGAGTTGATCAAAATAGACAGCAATACCAACTTTATTATAATGATAAGTAACAGTATTTAGTAGTGTTACATTTGAACATTATATTAACAGTATAAGGCAGAGGTCTGCAACCTTCACAACACAAAGAGGCATTTTGTTTCTTTGTTTCAAAGCTGAACGACTTACCTAACAAAATGAGCCACAGTTTCCACTGCATGTCTGCTCTGTCAGATAGAGATTTGTACTGTTGGAAATAAATATAACAAAAGACTTAAGAAATATGTATAAAAACTAAAAAACACTGAAAATAGAGAAGTTGTACATTTTGTTTCTAGAAAATAACTCATAAGTTATTTAGTTATTAATAGGTTAACAGTCAAATCTTCACAAACTGTGGCGTTTTATCAAAAACTAACTTACGAGATAATTTATTAAATCACAGCTTCATAAATACAATTATAGAAATTGTAGTTTACATGTTACCTCTGGTAATTAGACAAGTTTCCTTTATCTTGGTGTGAAACCAAGATAAAGGAAACAATCATTGCTGTCAAATCTTAATTTTGCTCCACATATTCTGTGAGATTCAAGTCAGAACTTTGATTGGACCAAAGTGAAATTTTAATATTCGTTAAACTTACAGAAAATAACTGGAGCTCAGTGATCAGTTTTCATCCTTGTTGTGAAAACTTTTTGTCTGAGTCATTTTCTTCATGTCACTGAACTGTTAAATAATTATTTTACTGAGATATTCATCTGTTAACAGTTTGTGATAAATGTTAACATTTTTATTGACTGAGAGTTGTGTGAAGTGAAACATGGATAACACATGAGTTTGTAACATGACTTTATACACCAGTTACTTGATTTCTGACAATCAAAATTTTCGATTAACTGAGTCCCTGCTGTTGAGTTCACATCTAATTCTGACAAAAAACACAGATGGTGTTGAAATATTACTCAACGTGAAGTTTGCATATTGAACCTGAAACACAATCATTCAGTTCTGGTTTTATAAGTCTGCTGTCTTTCAGCACTTGTTTAAATATGCCGTCAGTGAACTAACTTCATTAATAATAATCCAGACTTTAATCTGCCAATGGTATTAATATTTTGAGGCTTTCATAAAATAAAAAACCTATAAAAACACAGAGCTGTATGATTTAATACCTGTCTCATTTTCAAAAATGGTCGTTTTTTTTGTTCAAAACATATAAAACTGTATTTATAACCATTACTGCACAATTTTACAAACAAACTTCTACAATTCTAAATGAATAACAGGCATATTTTTTATCAATATTATTATCAATACAAATATTAAGATAAAGAAACAAAGATAATTTAAGAAAGTAATAAACCCGTTGAAACATATCTGCTAATAATAACAGTGGCGAGAGAAACTTATTAGTTTGTGAAAACATACTGTACAGAACACACAGTAAGCTATCAACTTCCTGATATTCATATAGACAATATAAAGTCACTATCTACTCATTTTTGAGACAAACTAAAACTGGACTTACTTTTAGGCAAATTTGTAACCAGATACTTTATGCAGATCCACTTACCTTAGAAAATAACCAACAGATGATTCACTAATTTCCTCTTAATGTCCTTTATGTTTGTCCCAACAAGGTTGTTTTTGTTCTAAATGTTCCTATAGTAACTTCCTGCTATGTGTCTTTATGTTTTTCAATGTATGAAAGTTTTGAGTGTGTGAAGTAAAGAATATGAGTAAGTTCCACCCATAATTTCTGTTGACCAGCTTTTAGCAGTTTTTCCTTGTCTGTAGTTACATGTCATGTTTCACATCCTCTTCCTGGGATTATGTAAAATAAAAAAATCCCACTTGTACATCCTGGATCAACAATGAGCTCAGTGAGCTCAGGAACAACATTTGAATATTCAAACCTTGTGAGAACATGTCACACTATGCCTAAAATAATTTACACTTCTGTGAAAATGTTGTTTAAATGCATCAATATGTATTTATTTAGCAAAGAAGTTGCTGAGAGAGTGAAGCTCCAGGTGGAACAAACTTACAAATGAAGGCAAAACTTTTCTATCCTGCTAAAATCAAAAACCCAGAGTTGTGTCTGGGTTTCCCTCCTGGATCTGATTCTCACTCTGCTTGATCTGAGAAAACCAGAAGAAGTGAATTCACCCATTCACTCTACATCCTTCACTTATTACCTATAATTTAAACATTTGAGATTACAAGACTGTTAAATAACTTCACTGATTAATATTTTCCATTTTGTTATTTCCTGTTATGAAGCATTTCTTGTTCAGTTGCTGTTTTTCATATTTCCTTGGCTGCTCTGCTCTTCATAGAGTTTCCTTGTCTGTTCATAAATAGAACTCATTTTATTATCTAATTAGGTTTTTCTTCCTGGTGAAAGTTGTCGTGCAAACAGTGAGTCCTGACGTGCGAAATGTTTCCTTCTCCCATCACAGCTACTGTTTTCACCTGCAGCATTTGAATATTGAAACACTGAGGTCAAATTCCCAAATGGAAAACTTCCAGATCTGGATTTCAAACACCTGTTTCTGTCAAGAAGTGGTGAGTAGTGAGGTGGTGAGGCAGGCGCTGGAGACCCAGATATGGTGAATAATGAAATATTTAATGAAAACAAGTCCACAAAAACACAGAGTCCGCGGCCAGGCAGCACGGCTGAGCGGAAGCCAGGGCTCACACCGGTAGCAACTGGTCTTAAGGGCGGCACAAAACAAACCAGCGACGACTAACGACAATCTGACAATCTGACAAGGACCCGAGGAGGAACAAAGGACACAGGAGGGACTAAATACACTGAGGGTAATCAGGAGAACAAGACACACCTGGGAACAATCAAGGGGAAGACAGGACAACGAGGAGACTCAGGACACAGAAACTCAGAATAAAAACACAGAAAAACACAGAACTTGACAGTTTCTTCTTTAAAGATCTCAAACTATGACTGTCCTTTTTTGTGTTTCAATAAAATTTGGAAAAAACATAAATTATTTCACCATTGAATTTATTGCCCAAGATTTTCTGCTCCATGATTCAATTGTTACCGTTGTAAATTGACAACATTTCAAACTGAAAGTCTTTGTTTTGCTTTGGAGATCTGAGTTTTAATATTTGTGACTTCAGTGGAGGTCGTTTTATGAGCTGTACAGAGTTGTGTGCAAAAATGTACTGAAAATGGAACAAAGCTGAATATTTTCCTGGAAATTTACTGAATCTTTTGTCAGTTTCATCCATGTTAATATCCTCAACAAAAGTGATAAAACAACCACTGTTTATGCTGCATCAGCAGATTTGTTGCATACTAGAAAAATTATCTTAATTAAACCACCATTACTATCTCTATCACCACTGAGGATTTAGATAATCATACATTAAATATTTTAACCCTGACATTAGTTTTATTTCTCAAAAGCAGCATTTAATATATTATATTATTGCTTTTAGCCTTGGAATAACCACATCTGTGCAGTAATAACTTAAAGCTGCTGCTTGGATTTAAAATATATCTTAAATCTATTGAAGATAGATATTTTGGTAATACTTTATTGTTTTTTTTTTAAATCTTTTTTTGGTTTGATACATGCAGTAATGTAATAGTTTAATAAAGTGATCAATTAAACATGAGCGAGAGATTAAATTTGAAACAAGTTACACATGCTTTAAAAAGAAACACAATTTTATGATACATATGCATAAGATGTAAAACAGAACAAAATGCAAACAACATCACTTACAATGTGAAATCAACTCCTTTTCTACATTTATCAGCTTTTATATACAAGAATGTGAGAACAAGTGGAGTACAGTACATCACTTATTATCCTGCTGGATGTTCAGAAGAGATGAAGTTAAACTTCTCATTATCATTTTTCTTAAACCACAGAAATTCATTTGATTCAGGTGTGTTGGAGCAGGGATGCATCTGATAGTTGCAGGATGGTGGCTCTCGAGGACTGGACTTGAGCACCCCTGATCTAGAGACATTTAAGCACATCAATAAATTTGGAGTCACAAAAGTCAGTGTCAGCAAATGTATGCTAATATAGAGGTAATCTATTTGCCAAATGATAGTAAAAGAAATGCTGTAATTTTTTCCAATCTTTCTGATTGGAAAAAATAAAAGATTCTCCTTATTCACAAAATCATTAAGTCTCAGACATCTGCAACGTATAAAAGAATCTTGTTTATATTTAAGACATTTTCCAGTTAAAATCTCACCATCATAACAGATGAAGGGTTTTCTTTCAGTGCAGTTCTCATTCCTCCATCTGCCTCCATCATCAAACACAGTCATGGCACATTGACCACTGTTGAGTTTCTGATTATTAAACTGTAGATTCCAGTGTCTGAAGGAGAAATTGCTCCCATCTGACCACCTCCAGGTGTCTCTGAACAGACCAATGAAGATGTAATCTGAATTTGCAGTCATTACATTTAACCCATTGATCTCTTCTCCATCCTTTAGCTGCTTCAATCCACTGATCAGGTCTGTGTGTTTCTCTCTGCAGTAACTCTGAGCTTCTGTCCAGTTCATTGATTCAGAGAACAGGTGATATTTCTGTGATGAATTATTTTCTGTGAAATAAAAAAGTCAGAATTCAAAGCACTTTCACATGCAAGTCTTGAAATAAACATTAATGTGAGGATCTAGATTAAAACAAATGAGTATTGCCTCACCATCATAGCAGATAAAATTATTCTTCTCATTACAGAATAAATCTCCCCACTTGAAAGAAAGAGGGCCATCTTTCCATATAATCCCACACTTTTGGCCTTCAGGTCCGACATTATTTGGTTCTTTTGGTACATTTGATTCATATGTTGCCCAGTTTGTCTCACTTTCATTGAACTCCACTCCAGGCAGAGACCAGTACCATGTTCTGGTACCATTTGTTTGATCATACAGACCAATCCAAGCTTCCTTTATATCTCCATCTGACATGTTGATGAGTCTCTTCATGTCCTTCATGTTAGTCACTGTGACCAGGTCAGTGTGTTTCTCTCTGCAGTACTGCTGAGCTTCAGTCCAGTTCTTACTCTCATTAATGTAGTGAAACTCATAGAGCTGACAGTCTGTCAGAAAATTCTGAGCTAAAAACAAAACAAAAACAAACTTGTTTTAAATCACAGTGCAAGTCAGCTATACGTGAAACAGAATAAAACGTTTCTTGTTACCATCCAATTATTTTATGAGCCCACTTTAAACTGCAGTAATTTTAGATAATATATCAGTATTATTTATGTATGCGCTTACCCATTACAGTAAGAAGAAACAGTATCCGCTGCATATTTACTCTGTGTGTTTAGATGAACACTAAAGAAAAAAAATCTGACATCAAATATGTAACTTTCAGAAATCCCTTACTAATAAAATATCTACTAACATTGTTATTAAAGAGAAACTTACATCTGGTTTTCTCCTTTTATATGGAGTCAAAATGCTCAGTGCCTGATGTTGAATCTTGTTTTAGCACCTAGACTCTATTTGAATATTCAAACCTTTAAAGAAGAACCTGATATGTTAATGTTTACATCCTGGAAAACAAAACAAATGCAACGCCATAGGTTGGTATTGCTCAGGTTATTTCCTAGTTCATGTTTTCCAAAAGTTTATTTTTGTTTTCATACTTTTACAAGTTAGATCAGAATAATAGATCCTGATGGGCCTCAGCAAGATCTGAATATTTTGTCTTTTATACTTATTGTTCAGTATAAAAAATGTTCATTTCTTCATCATCATCTGGTCCAACTCAGGCTGGCTCAGTTCAAAGTATGTTATTTGGTTTATCTCTAATAAATTCTGATTATTTCATCATTGATCGTTTTCAGACTTCAGTGCTTTCATTGTGTTTAAGCTCAAAATATGATGGGGGACATAAAAATAACGTTCAGCGTTCTTCTGCCCTGCCGAGCCCTAAATGTTTCATCTTCCATCGTGGCCGTTGAATCGTATTTCTTCTCCGTCGTTTTCAACCACATCATCCGATGCTGCTGCATCTTCTTCGCCTCCCTCCTCCCATCTGTCTGTCTTCACATCTTGTCTGAAGAGTCAGTTGTAGGTGTTGACCTTGAGCAAGACTGCGGCTCGTTAAAACTGGACTCATAATATGAGCCCACTGTGTTTCATTTCCTGTTGAAAATTCCTCATGTCAGGTTGATGTTTAACAAGTCAAACAAAATGCAAATCAGAGTTTACAGAGATGGACGTGTAGCTTCCTTCTCTTATCAGACGTGCATATATATATACCCTTGAAGCCAGTATACCCTTGATTACTGCCCTGCCAGTAATCAGATACCCTGCTGGAATAATTAGCTGGCCAAAGGAGGAGATAAAAGCCACAGATATTAAGACTAGAAAGCTACTAACCATGCATGGAGGGTTCCATCCAAAATCCAGCACCCTGAGACTGTACACGAGCCGCAAGGAAGGAGGCAGAGGACTAGTGAGTGTGAGAACCACTGTCCAGGACGAAACAACTAAGATCCATAAATACATCAGGCACAAAGCCTCAACAGACAATGTGCTCAGTGAATGTCTCAGACAACAGGGAACGGAGGTTGAGGTGTCAGAGATACCATCATGGGAGGACAAGCCCCTACATGGGATGTACCACCAGCAAATAACCCAAGTGGCTGATATCAGTAAATCCTACCAATGGCTGGAAAAAGCTGGACTCAAGGACAGCACAGAGGCCCTCATCCTGGCCGCCCAGGAACAGGCCCTAAACACCAGAGCAATAGAGGCCCAGATCTACCACACCAGACAAGACCCAAGGTGTAGGTTGTGCAAGGAGGCCCCTGAGACAGTCCAGCTCATCACAGCAGGGTGCAAGATACTGGCAGGGAAAGCGTACATGGAGCGACATAACCAAGTGGCAGGCATAGTGTACAGAAACATCTGTGCAGAATATGGACTGGAAACCCCGAGATCAAAGTGGGAAACACCCCCAAAGGTGGTGGAGAACACCAGAGCTAAGATCCTGTGGGACTTCCAGATCCAGACAGACAAAATGGTAATGGCTAACCAACCAGATATTGTCGTAGTGGATAAACAACAGAGGAAAGCCGTTGTGGTTGATGTAGCAATACCAAGTGATTGCAACATCAGGAAAAAGGAGCACGAGAAACTGGAGAAATACCAGGGCCTCAGGGAAGAACTGGAGAGGGCCTGGAAGGTGAAGACCACAGTGGTGCCTGTGGTCATCGGGGCCCTCGGGGCAGTAACCCCCAAACTGGAGCAGTGGCTACAACAGATCCCAGGAACAACATCAGACATCTCAGTCCAGAAATGTGCAGTCCTTGGCTGTGCCAAGGACTGCACATTTTTATGGAGCTCTGCGCAGAACCCTCAAGCTCCCAGGCCTCTGGTAGAGGACCCGAGCTCAGAGGATAAGAACCACCCGCGGTGGGTGAGAAGGGAATTTAAAAAATTATATATATATATATATATATATATATATATATATATATATATATATATATATATATATATATATATATATATATAGTTTTTAGCTGCAGAATTTGAACGGAAAACTTTAAGAAAAACCCACAATATAATTGTATAGTTTGGAAAATTAATTTTTATGGACTTTAAATGGGAGATAAATAAATATAAATATAAATGGGAGAAGACAGATATTGTGCAACCAATAAATGTTGAATTTATCGCCCCAGATTCTCTGTCCTATGAGTTCTAATTTTGTCTTGTTAATTTGCCAGAACTGCAACGCTGGAATTCATTGTTGTACTTGAAGAATCTGAGTCTGAACGTTCAAAAGCAGTAGAGAGCAGTTCACACGATGTATTGATCCTGGCACCGAGCAGAATGTTTTACTGAAAATTCGATCAGTGCCATCCATATCAATATCCTCGACAAAACAGCAAGAAAACATTTCTCTTGTCCATACTGCAGTAGCAGACACTTTGCAAAATGCAAATATTCTTCCAGTCACCGTCATTATATTTATCTCTACTGGGAATTGAAATATAAATATAACAAACACTGTAATCCTAAGATGTCTCATCCCCCTCCACGTTTAAAATTTGTTGTTTTGTTGGTAACCTAATTTAGGCAACAATAATAACGTATGTTCAATCTAAATTGTGGGCAGGGGGTGAAGGGCAAAATGTTCACTCTCCCCAATTTCAGAAGTCAGGAGAATTTTACAGAAACATATGAACTAAAAAAAAATGAAACGTCCTCTTATCAACTTCTACGACTCTCTGCTGTTAATAAACAACATTTATTAACATGTTGTTTTCCGGTGTGGCAGTGATCCACAAAACCACATCTTAAACCTAATGAATAAATAACTCAGTACAGTTTTTGGTGATTATTTATTGTCTTTTTGCTTTGATACAAACAGTATTTAACATGATAGTTTAAAATATGGATCAATAACAAGTGAGCATTGTGGATAGTTTAAGAATATATACATGGATATTATCAGACGACATTTAAAACAAGTTGTATGTTTTTTATCATTCTTCCATACATTTAGGGTTAGGATGGACATATTGCTTTGAATAAACATAATGTACATGGCTCATGATGTGAAGCCGAACAAGATCCAAACAATGTAACCTACAATATTTAACCGTTCCCCTTTCTGCATATATCAGCGTTCATATACAGCCTGTTTGAGAGTAAGTGTTATAAAACACATCACTTAAAACAAATGAAATTAAATTCCTCAAGGTCATTTTTCTTACTCCACTTATATCCTCCTCCCGTCTCCATGGCTCCAGACATGTCACAGTCGTCCATCGGTTCATCTTTGGCCCAGTTCTTGTAGCTGACCACCTCGTCACTGACCCAGAACCACAAATCCAGAGTACAGGCGTAGCGCAGACCCATCCAGACAAAAGGAGTCGAAGCAAACTGGGCTTTCTGCTGGACCAGTCTCTGCTCATCAGAGTCGGTGATGGTGACCAGGTCATGGTGGTGATCTCTGCAGTAGGTCAAGGCGCCTTCCCAGGTTTTATTAACTTTGATCAGGATCAATGAACTGTCTGTTGAAATAAAGAAGACAAAAATTGTATCTTTAGCTTTATTCGGGCCGTTATTTTGGACTAATGGTTTATCCCCCAGTGGATCCATCTTATGTGTTTTTTAGGTACAAAGTGCCATTTTGTAACATAATCAAGTAACAATGTTAAATTCAGTTGTGATGAAAATGTCATATATGTAAAAATCATGATTTAGAAATTTTACTCAGTAATTTAATGCCTTAAAAATGTGTCTGTGTTTCTTTAAAAAAAAAAAAACACCTTCACAAAGTGATCTCAAAATGTCTCCTGTATTAATCCTACAGCATTTTTTTAATCTTCACTGATGTTACTCCTACAATGAACCCAGCAGTTCCACCAGGTGTTTGCTAATTACTGCTGGAAAGCCTGAAGAAACTGAGTGGAGGAGTTGTGGGGAGCACCCAACGGTTGTCATGGGAGATTAAAGAACATCTAAAACATGCATGAAAGAATCAAGGAAACACTTCATGTGATGAGGGGATAACGTTATAAAATGGTGTAAAGTAGATCTTACGTAACACTGGCCCTTTAAGAAAGTTTCTGAAACATGTGTTTCTCAGAGAAACATTTCAAAACCAACAATGGATCAGACTTTATTTTAATCGATACACAAAAAATGCCAAATTTAGTTTTCAAATGTAAATGGAACCAAACCTTTGCAGTAAAAAAAAATAATAATAATTAACAATAGAAAAGAAGGATTTGTTTTTTAATAAAACAATTTTAAGAGTCATAATTATGATGCAGGAAAACTAAATCTAATTCAGTATTTGGATGTATGTTGCTTATGAAACCAGAGAGGGCTACAGAACTGTGAACTTGCTTCCAATTGTTTGACCAGTGATACACATGCAAATAGAAAACAACTCACCGTCATCATTACAGATGAAGGGTTTTCTTTCAGTGCAGTTCTCATTCCTCCATCTGCCTCCATTATCAAACACAGTCATTGCACATTGACCACTGTTTTTTCTCTGATTATTAAACTGTAGATTCCAGTGTCTGAAGGAGAAATTACTTCCATCTGACCACCTCCAGGTGTCACTGAACAGACCAGTGAAGATGTACATTGAATTTACAGCCGTGAACTTTAACCCCTTGTTCACTTCTCCATCCTTTAGCTGCTTCAATCCACTGATCAGGTCTGTGTGTTTCTCTCTGCAGTAACTCTGAGCTTCTGTCCAGTTCATTGATTCATAAATCAGGTGATATTTCTGTGATGAATTATTTTCTGTGAAACAAAGTCAGAGCAGAAAGCATTATAACATTAAAGAGGGGGTCCAGACTATTTTCTCACTATTGTAGAAGAGAAAATTATTACACCATTTATAGAAATATTTTTTTTCAAAGTGAATGTAATAATATAGTTACATTAAGAATAATGTGCAAAATAAATTGATATTGTTTTTCTGAAAAACCTCATGTTTATTTTTTTATTACTTCAAAGTCTTAAAAGACACAAATCTATATAAAAACTGTTTTTCTCACCATCATAGCAGATAAAATTTTTCTTCTCATTACAGGATAAATCTCCCCACTTGAAAGAAGGATTGGCCTCTTTCCATATAATCCCACAGTTTTCGCCTTCAGATCCATAATTATTTGGTTCTCCTGGGTTCCAGTTTGTCTCACTTTGATTGAACTCCACTCCGGGCAGAGACCAGTACCATGTTCTGGTACCATGTGTTTGATCATACAGACCAATCCAAGCTTCCTTTATATCTCCATCTGAGATGTTGATGAGTCTCTTCATGTCCTTCATGTTAGTCACTGTGACCAGGTCAGTGTGTTTCTCTCTGCAGTACTGCTGAGCTTCAGTCCAGGTTTTATTCTCATTAATGTAGTGAAACTCATAGAGCTGACATGCAGTCAGATAATTCTGAGCTAAAAACAAAACAAAAACAAAACAGATTTAAATCACTTTGCACCGATATTGTACAATATTTATTCAGAGCAACTTACCCATCACGGTCAGAAAAAACACACACCACTGCATGTTTGCTCTAGTTTGTGTAGAGGAAATCAAAATAGAGGAAAAGTCCACATCAAACAATGCATTTAATTTCTAGAAATCCCATCCCAATAATAGTAATACACTGTCATAAAAGACAAACTTACATTTAATTTAATCTGTTCACAAAGAGTGAAAATGATCCAACAGCTTGATGTTTGGTTGTAGAACGTCCTCAGGGAAATGCTCAGTGCCTGACACTGATCTCTTGTTTTAGCACATCGACTAAATTTGAATATTCAAACTTTCCCCCCAAAAAAACGGAAAAACAACCCTGTGCTGATTATTTGCATCATGGAATCCAAAACAACTGCGATGTCAGGTTAGGTTTCATTACATATTCTGGAAATGTGCTTTTGTTTTCTTTCTTTTCCAGTTTACATCAGAAACAAATGGCCTGCTGTGTCCCGCAGAAATCTTGCTCCACCTCCAACTCTGCTTTCCAGTCTGGACTCTTGTTTCTCAGCATTTTGGAGAAGTAATTAATTGAGCAAAATTGAAAATAAATAAATAAATAAAAACAGAGCAGCTGTTCCATCCAAAGTGAGATGAATGGCGCCTCTCAGGATCGGATCAGGTTTCTTCAGAAATGTTGACCAATAAACAAAGTGGCTCAATTTGTTTTCTGGACCCGAGCCAATGGTGGAATGACAGTCTGGTGCTGGTCACGATGCCACAGGTCAGATCAGAGAAAATGACAGAATTTGGCTCTGTTTTAATAAACTTACACTCTAGTTGTAGTTAATGTTGATTATGTTAAGCAAGGTGTCATTACCCACATCATTAGTAAGAGTTTGACTGGTATCCTTAGTGACCAGTTTTAAAAAAGATCTGGTATCGCCCCCTCTGGCTGCAGGCAAACATTTCATTTGGGTTCTAACTGGGCTTTGAAACCCACAGATACCACAGTAGCAAAACATATGGCAAATTAATGACAAAAACAATCTTACCGTTATAGCAGAGAAAGTACTTCTTTCTATTGCAAGAGACGTCGCCCCACTTTTGACTTTCTAAAATAAACCCACAGTTTTCAGTGTCATGATCATTTGGCTCGATGCTGTCCCACTCTGCTTCATTCACATCAAACTCCAGTCCAGTGCCGTTTCCTGTTACCATGTGTTTGATCATACAGACCAATCCAAGCTTCTGTCACTGATCCTGGTGATTTGCTGATGAGTCTCTTGATGTCCTTCATGTTAGTCACTGTGACCAGGTCAGTGTGTTTCTCTCTGCAGTACTGCTGAGCTTCAGTCCAGTTCTTTTCTTCGTTAATGTTGTGAAACTCATAGAACTGACAGTCAATGAACCAGCACTGAGCTGTGAAGAACAGAAAAGACATTAAGTGAGTGATTTTGTAATCTGAAGACTTTGAATTAGCTGTGAGAATTCGATGGAAATTGTAAAGCGTGTCTGGAATGTTTAGTCAGAACCACTCACCCAACAGAATGGGAAGGAAATAAATCAACTTCATATGCTGGGTCGAGGGTGAACAGTTTGCGTTTTAGTTTTGATTTCAAAGAGCCATGTCTGTTGGGGAAAAAGCAGATTATTTAGACACATTCTGTAAAAGTAAAATCAATTGCAGGACTACAAGAACCTGCAATTTATTAATAAAGATTATATTCTAGACAATTAAATCATATCATTCCTGGCCAGGTTCTGTAAAAGTTGCTGTTTTTGAGTTGTCATCCATTCAACTATTTTATCTTGAGCCTAAACTCTTTAAAAAGTTCACCAGCCATCCAGCTGGTTTCAGAGTTGACTTTATGTTTATTATGTTTATTTTTCTCTTACAGTATAAAGGTAACAGGCTAAAAAAAAACATTTAAATGGTCATAGAAACTGATTCCACTGCAAGTTAAAAAGCCAATACATTCAATAATAGAACAGGAATATGATCAAATGGAGAGCAGAGAAGAGAATTACATCTGTTTAGATGAACGATTCGGTACCAGACCTGTCCGGGAGAAATGTTGACGCCTGAAAAGAACAGATGGCTTTTGATGGTAAAGAGACAATTTGAATATACGTGTCACTCAGGCCTGTTCCCCAGTTACAAAAATAAAACAACTCTGTGACAGACAGACATCTACCTCAGAAAGTAACTTCAGTCTTTGCGTTATAGTCAGCAATGCCAATAATTCAGTTAAAGATTTTTTTAAAAACCAGCAAAAGTGAAATATTTGTATGAACACAGAAGACTTTCCAGAAACTCTTAATAAGCTCTTTCTGTATTCCTTCTAGTTCATGAGAATCCAAGGCTCCTATTTGTGTCGTTATCTGCAGATGAACTCATTTGCCTTTTGCAGCACAAGCGCTTGGATCAGATTCTTCCTGTAAAACTTTCATTTGACTCCCTTCTTCCAAAACACTCAGACAAGTGACAGCAGGCCAATCACTGGTTCTGAAATATGTGTATTTTGCCCCACTTAGTCACTGAGTGTCGAGTAAAGTGGAGAAAAAATATAAGTTTATGTTCTACAGCTCTTGACCAGAAGGCTGAATGTGACCAGATATTTACATACACAAAATGCAAAGACACAAATACATCTTTGTTCTCACTGTCTGGGGATTTTTGGTCCTAAAACAAACTGATTTAACTTCAGGCAGTGAATGTAAACATATAGTTTCAACTGTGTGTGATCTGACAAAATCAAAACAAACACAGGTTGCTCGTGTTTTGTTTTGCGCTGCGAAACCTCAAAATATTCCATTTTCTATGGCAAAATTTTCAGTGGACTTGAAATAGGACAAAAAAAACTAACAAGTAACTTCAGTGCGATAGAACAAGTTTAGCAACGATGCCGTTCACAGTGCTTCAGTTGATTAGAAGAAAATCCAAAACAACACATGCACAACAAAATTAAACAACGACCCAACTGATATCATAACTGTGAACAGGCGGGTTTTCACCCTTGATTTAAATGAGATGAATGAAGCACAAAACTAAATGGTGGTTCTCCATGACATGGTGAAAAACACAAAGACACAAAAATGCAGCCATAAAACACGCAGTCAACAACCGAAACAGCTTTTAGAAACATAGCATTTTGCTTTGATTGTGTTTCAAAAGCAACTCTCAACCTCTTGATGCTCACATTTACATGAGCATAAGGGAACGTAAGCAATCCACCAAAATTGAAAGGAAGTCCATTAAAGCACAAGCTCTGTATAAAACAACTGAAGAAATAATAAATAAAAATGACAACAAATGACTACCAGCATGATCTTGGTTAGCCAGAGTGAACAGTTTGCCTCATCTCCTACCGTTTTCTGACATTAATCCTTTTTTTTGAAAGTCTTTTTGAAACTGATCCTGCTCTGATAAAAGCAGGACTGGGATCAGAGATCAGAGAAAACCGTGCTTCAGAGAAAATGGAAAATGCATATGCACGTGTTTTTGCTAACAGTCACCAAACAAGGTCATGATTTTCACAGTGAACCTACACAGTGAATCGTTTAGTGTATGTTTTACACTCAAAGTGCAAAGTTTACACCAAACTCTGTGATCATTTGGGTCAATATAATATAAAAAAGGACGGTTATTTCCAGAACTTGGAGCTGCAATTACACCTTGCTATCAGTCATTTAGAAAACAAATAGAAAAAAGAAAACATTAAGCCTGTGGATAAAAACCCCTGTAAAAGCGCTGACTGAGACTTAAACCTTAGCGCAGATAAAATTCACCTCCTCTGTAGCATTTTTATTAAACCATCTATGTTGTCCTCTGACGTCCATACAGCCAGATATGTTACAGTCGTCCGTCGCTCCATCTGAGATGTTCAAGGCCGTCGTCCCGGGACAGACCCAGAACCAGAACTTCAGAGTACAGTTAAAGCGCAGACCCAGCCAGACGTAATCAGTCGACGCCTCCTTGACTGTCTCCTGGATCCATCTCTGATCATCCATGTTGCTGATGGTGACCAGGTCGTGGTGGTGAGTTCTGCAGTGGTTTAAGGCTTTTGACCAGTTCATATTTTCCCTGATCAGGATCACTTTATCTGTTTCGTGACACAAACATGAGACGACTGCTTTAATATGTGTACATACACAAGCAGGGTCAGCAAATTTCCAAGTTGACGCGAATGTTAAGGCAAATCATGAAAAGGAAAAAAAAAATAATGCTTTGAATTTTTACAAACTTTTTGATGTTCAATGAGAAGTCACTTCAAGACATTACATTAAGCCTCATATTTGAGCAACATGAAAAATAGTCAGGTTAATACAGAGGTCACGTTCACCAAGTATTTTCAATATTTGACGGGTTGTTTTTCTGTTTTTAAACGACTGGAATATTTGAAGCCCTTCAGTCATTTTCGTGCTATAATTCACACCCTTGACTGGTGCACATGCGCAGACGTCATAGACTTTACGCAAAGAGTTCCTTCCAGACGCAACTAAAATCAATCAATAAGAAAATCATTTCTGAAAATCATGTCATTGACTGTAGATTTCTCTGAAAATGGGGGCCAGCAGGAATTTGTGAACGTTCAGACCGCAGCGGGTGAAGTGACCGTAATTTAAGTGAAGTCTTTCATTTCATTTGTTATAAGTTATTGGTGCCACGATAATTTTTGTCACTACGATGACGGGATCTGGTTTCAGTTTGACTCTGAGAATATTGTCTAAACCGCATAAAAATGTGGCTAAACAGCGTAATGTTAACATGATTGTAATTTGATGGGTAAGTTTGTACTGTCGGTCAAGGAGACGGAGAACAAAAAAGTCTAGCCGCGCGACCTCTGGAAAGCAAAACTCACCATCATAACAGATGAAGGGTTTTTTTTTTTGTTGCAGTTCTCATTCCTCCATCTGCCTCCATCATCAAACACAGTCATGGCGCATTGCTCACTGTTGAATATCTGTTTGTTAAACTGTAGATTCCAGTGTCTGAAGGAGAAACTGTTTCCATCTGACCACCTCCAGGTGTCTCTGAACAGACCAATAAAGATGTACTGATTTTCTCCTACAGAGCTGCAGACATTTTTGAGTTGCTGGTCCTGAAGCTGCTTAGTTCCACTGACCAGGTCTGTGTGTTTCTGTCTGCAGTAACTCTAAGCTTCCAGCCAGGACTTCTGTTCTCGAATCAGGTGAAATGTCTTCAATTCATTTGTTTCTATACAGTGAAAAGAAAAAAAAAACAGGGCAAACCAGACATTTCGACATAGGAGAGTGAAAATGTTGGTAAATATA